TGGCAGCCAGTCTTACTGATGGAGAGAGCTGTAGGGTGTGCAGCTCAGCTGATCAAGTTGAAGAGGAGCTGGGCTTGCAGGTGGAGAAGAGAACTGACTCTTCAAGTGTAGGGAGCAGGCTAGATGCCAGGTCTGAGGCAGCCTCTGCCCCAGCAGCTCCTGCTGGCTTCTGCCCCCTGGCAGCAGCAGATCTGGCTTCCCCTGCACCAGCACAGCCAGTCTGACCCAGCAAGGACATGGGAGCTGTGCTCAAGCCCCATGTCAGGAGCCATGGGGATGAAGAGGAAAGGTTTGTCACCATTGGAGTAGTGACCAGGTGAAAGTAAAGGGTGTTCAAGCAAACAGAAATCCTATTTCTAATCTGCTATGCCATTTTAACTAGCAGTAGCTAAAGCTTCACTAAATGCAATGTTGTTCTTCCCTTACTCTGTAGCTTGGCTTTTTTCTCGAAATTTTTGTGCTGGACCTGTGTATCCTGGAGCCTGATAGCTCATTCTGTCAAACCTTACCTAGAGCAGTGGTTTTCAGCCTGTTTTCAATGTGCAGAATCCCAAATTACTTGAAAATGAAGCTGTATTGCTATGTAACGAAGTTGATTTTAGTGATGGTAGCTTCCTTTCAGTAACTTCTGGCGTCTTAGTGCTTACACGTAGGTCTGTGTGTAGTGGACCACAGCTCCCAAGGAATAGGATAAGTGACTTGATGTCTTGCATCTGAGCATGCCATCTCTCTCCTTTGCTGCCAACTGCTGTGAACATTACTGGAATCTAATTCGATGAACTGATTTTACAAGTGATTGTACCATAATGCCTTTCTATTTTTCCTTTTCCCAAAGTAACTTGTAACTGTGCTGATTGGAGAATCTCAGGGCAGGAATTACACGTTTTGGATTATACACTTAATTCCTTGAGCACTTTTTCCCTAAGAGGAGCAGCTGCCTGTTGTAGTTTTCCATTTATTAATTAAATCCTGAATGTGTGCACACACACACAAGCTAGTCTGCAAGATAAGGATCTGTACAAAGCTTTTCTTCTGCAGAAGGATTACTTGTCTTTCTCTTACCTGTTTAAATCTTAAATACTAGTCTCTTCCCTTTTTTATGATCCACACCAGATCTTTTTGCCCCTTTAATGCTAGCTCTGAGAGAGAAGGAATCCAAGTTCAGAAATAAAGTGATGGTTAGAGACAAAGGATTTGTTAAAAAACGATGAAGCTTCTGGCCCAGTCCAGAGGCCTGTTGCTGCCTGGCTCAGAGGGTGCCACTCGGAGTCCTCCCATAGCTAATGCTGCAGCGCATGGACGTCGGAGCAGGAAGCTTTCCTCTCTGCTGATGTTCAGCTTATGCCCCGCAGCATGTGCTTTAGTAGCATTTTTACGTAGATTTGACCACTAATAACAAATATAGTTGTGTGTTGTAGCTGTTTAATACAAAGCCTCTTGTTTCTAATCAGTGCATGGAATCATAGTGCATGCTATGTGTTGTTGTCCCCCCACCCCTTTTATTTACAGTGTACAGCCTCAGGTTTGTTTGCATCTCCACACTGTTTTTGATTTAAGAAAAAAAAAATAATCTCCAAACGTTTCTAGTTGCTGATAGCCCGACTCCTCCCCCACCTCCGCCCCCCGATGAGATGCCGATGTTCGATGACTCTCCTCCTCCTCCACCCCCACCTCCTGTGGATTATGAGGATGAGGAGGCTGCTGTTGTGCAGTACAGCGATCCCTATGCAGATGGAGATCCTGCTTGGGCACCTAAAAACTATATAGAGAAAGGTAAGAGAGGTGTTGCAGCTGCATTAGTGCAATATGAGAGGATTAATGGTATCTGAAGGGAATGAAGGACTTAATGTGGATCTGATAAGAACAATCATTGTCCCTCCTAAGTCAGAACTCGACCCATGCTTTCCTTAGTTTTTTTGTGGCTACACCTAATGTTATAAGATACAATCCTTTTTTGGACAAGTTATAAAATACTGTCGAGCATTCTAGAACAGATGAAAACCAAAAAGCTTCTTTATGAGAAGCAGATGTAAATTGTATGGCTTTCATCTTTTCTGAGCTGGACTGTGGCTTTAGCTAACTCAGGATTGCTAGGCAGTCATCTAGAAACTGTTGCAAGAAGGCCAGAAATTGAGCTGTATTTATCGCATTGAACTAGATAGCTAGAGTGGATCACTAAACTTTCAACTATAAAATGTGTTGAGGAAATTTATTAGTGACATCAGCAAACTATGAACTAACAGAGTAAATGTCTCTTCCCATGAATAATAGAGATGCTGATTTCCTGCCTAAGACATTAGATTTATGAGAATGTATATAGGTGTAAAGTAGTAGTGTCTTTGGAATTCATAAACCTGATCAATTGCATAAATCCGTGTTAACTGTTTTGAATGGTAAGGCTGTGATGTCTGAACTCTGTATATTCATAGTGGTAGTTTTTAACTCCAGTATTGTTGGTGGCAGCATTTACTTTCCTTAGGGAGATCTCTGCTTTGTTAGTGGCACACAGTGAGTTGGAGGTTGGTAAGAGTAAAGTATTCACCAAGCACGTACTGAAAAATAGCAGCTGTTGCTGTAAATTCCCTTCTGCTTTCTCCTACAGTAACATTTCTACTTGCACTCATTCCATCTTCTTGAAAATTGATGCCAGAACTTCCTATCACACAGAAGCTCTGTAGGAAAGACCATCCATTTGTTGGAGCAGCTTTACACAGCAATGTGTAGAAGATCACACACTGAATACTGTGTGTGTGTATATATATATATATACATATAGCTGCAGGGACCCTAGTGAAATAATTTAAAATAAAATAAAATAAAAAAATGTTTTGAGGTAATTTGACCAGAAATGGCTGCCACACTTATGGAGTCAGTTATTTAATAGTTGAGCTTTTAGGTGTCCATATGCACTGCTTTACTGTGTCGCAATCAGATGTACCCCTCTGTCAGCAACTTAACTGAGCATTCAGGGTAGTCACCACCCACTTCTTATTGGTAGCTAATGTTGCAAGGAAAGTGAAATTTCATTTTCTGGACTTAATGTTTGACAGGGAAAGCATGTGAATTCACTATGGAAAATCCCAGGACAGCAAACTGGTCTTTTAATATTTTTTGAAGCACAATTTTTTTTTAATAGTGGTGCTATTAATAAAATGCTAAACGTGTCCCTTTCCAATCCACAGTTGTTGCTATATATGACTATACAAAGGACAAAGACGATGAGCTGTCGTTTATGGAGGGTGCAATCATTTATGTGATAAAGAAGAACGATGACGGCTGGTATGAAGGAGTTTGCAATCGAGTAACTGGCTTGTTTCCTGGGAATTACGTTGAATCAATCATGCACTATGCCGATTAAAATCCTTTGCTTTTCAAAGTTTGGTCTTGTATTCAGTCATACCATGATTATTTACAAGGGGTAACTAAAAGCTAACAGGATTATCTTAATATACTTTCAAAAAATTGTGCCCATTTCTTCAGGCCATACTGTTTTAATGGTATGATTGAATGTCCATCTCTGAGTCTCTGGGGACAGTATGTCTTACCTGATGGCAATTTGTAAAACAAACAATGTCTATAACTGGTTATACTTATTTACTTATGCATTGTTAATTTTATGACCAGCCTAAATATTATGGGGAAGTAGGGTATAATATTTAATGAACCATGATCAGATTGTGCCATTACATTTTTCAGTACAGCATGGTAACTAACACTACGTTAGACTAACATATTAAAATCTGGATGAGAAGTTTAATGTTAGTGCTGGTCATATTACTTTTTGTTTAGACTCTTTGCTCATTCTTGAACTATATTTGTTTAAAGCATGCATACAAACTTATGTATTGAAATATACTTTTTTAAAAATCCAAGATGCTTCCAATTGTTGTAATCTTTACCTGGAGTATTCTCACTAAAGTCTATTACAATGAGTTGTTTGGGTCTAAGGTGTCCATGTGAATCAGAAAATGGGTGGTCTTATGTATGTGTAATTTGTACCCAAGTTTTTTTAATGAGTAAATTTACATTATGACTTTTTCCATTCATAAATATATAAGTGAACCAAAGGTCTTGTCCATTACTTTGTTGGTTGGTTTGGCAAAGAAGTTTGGAATGCTAAGGTAGCAAAATCATGGCTGTGTCATCCCAGGCAATGTAGTGAAAAGCAAATGTTTGTAACATGAATTTATCACACAGAGGGAAAATAAATTAGATCTGAAACCCTGAATTACACCCTTACACATACTCTTAAAAGTTCTTTTCCTTCCAACATTTAATTATAGAAAGGATTCTTGATTTAATCTAGTTATCTAGATGCAGTAAAACTTGGACACTATCTGTAACTTACAGTTCTCTGAGGAAACTCTGTGTGGCTTGGTGATGTGCCCTGCTAAGAAGAGACAGCAGGGTGTCCTCCAGAGAGCACCCAGGGGGAACCACACATGACAGGAACTTGGCCATTGTGTTAAGGCATCACAGGCAGAGATAGAGATTGTGTGCCTCCCTGTTCTACTGATTCTGTGGCTGAAGTAACCTGAAAAGGAATGTGGTAGTACTGGATAATTGCTGTGAGAAGAATGTGTCTGGGACTTCAAAGCAGGCTTCTAGAAGGGTACTGAATATACTCTATAAATGAGTGATGGAATGGGATGGAGTTGCAGGTTTGACTGGCTGGTGAATCAGTTTTAGTGTGAGTTACAATGAGCCTTTCATTATCTGAACTGCAGCAATCTCAAATTCTGCATCTTGTTAACTGCTAGCAGATAGCCACCAATAGCATACCTATATTTCATTATGAATTGGAATTCATTGATGTATATAACCAATTAAAATCTACAGATAGTCTTTTATACTAAACCAGTATTGTATGTACAGTTCCAGTTGCTCCTGTTGTTAAACAGCCAGGGAAGCATTCAAACCATCTCGCTTCACAGGAGTTTACCAGCTCCTGTACATGCATGCTCTGTTTATTAGTGTAAACAAGTGAAATTTGGAACAACTTCAGTTCTCATACACTGATTTATATTTATTGTCATTGTGGCCTTTGTGCATCAACATGTAAACATCTTCCCCATCCCCCACAATCAATAGCCCCCTCCTTAAAACAATTGTATAGCACAGTCTGATTTGCTCTGAATTGCATTGCTTCCTGCAGTAAAACACTCTGAACTTTTGTTTAAAAAAAAAAAAAAAAGGTAGAATGTCACAAAAAAAAAACAAAAACAAAAACTTTTTTTAAAAAAATAATTTTTGGTAGCCTGTGTTGGAAGCAAATAACTTCTGAAATAAATGTAGGCACAGTCTGGTAAGTAGCTGCCAGGACGAGTGGAAGGAGTTGTCTCACTTGTCTCGCATGAGAACCATTTCTGTCAGGTGGACGAGGGCTTCTCTCTCGGGGGACGGCCGCAGTTTGCGGATCTCTCGCGTGGCCGCGTGGCAGTAGCGCTGGGCGAGGTAGGTTGTCTGCTGCACACCATCACTCTGAGGGGGAAGACAGTGAAAGGAAACGGGTAAATGATCAAATGTCAAAATACTAAAGCTCATCCGTGCCAAATTTAATTACACTTACAAAAAACAGCACTGGTATTAATAACGTATTAGAAACTAATGGTTTAATGCCTCCCCTCCTGCCCTAAATAGGGATGTGCAAAAAAATGTGCTCTTCTGAAAAAAACAGATATTACTTTTGCAGACCATTACTCAGCCTTTTCAGACCAGAGTCAATTAAAACTGATATGGAGTGTGCACTGCAGTTACAAGACTGATTGGTAATGATGTGCCACTTACACCAGTTGTTGGATACAGCTGAAGGAACTGAGTTCATGCATGAGCTTTTTACTTTTATTATGTGGATTTTATGCTATGTGAGGGGAAAAAAAAGAAAAAAAGCTCTTCAGTACCTATCATTTCTTTTAAAACACTGTGCCACTAAGACAGCTGAAGAGTTCCAACTTGGCATTGTACAATGCATTGCTACTTAGCAGGTATCTGACAATGCAGCCCTGCTATTTTACTTCAGAGACAGTGAATTTCAGACTGACTTCAGCAGGGAAAGCAGAAATATTTGGTATCAATCTTACCTGCAACACATATTTCCAAGCACGTTCAACATCTCCTGGCTTACTGAATCTCCTCATTATCATAGCATTCATTTCTGGAAACTAAGCACAAAGGGAGAAGGTTTTTGTACTGCTTTTGAGTTGTTTTCCATGTAGCTGCCTGCCATGCACCAAAGTACAGACCTCTTCCCCTGCCACCCTTGTTATTACAGGTATAGCTTTAGATTCATACTTGCAGTCTGCATAGGACTGTAGTACAGCAAAGCCCAAGTATTTAAAACAAACTTGTCTGGCTCTGCTGCCTGTAGCCAGTTGGTAGCAAAAGGTAGCCCCTGCCATTTCATCATGTTGAGCAGATGATCTACTGTGGTAATTTCTGATGTGGGTACTCCCTGGAGCATAACCTGCCTCAGGTATTTTTCTGTCACAAATGATGGTTAGTGTTGGCACAGCTCAAAGAAGCACCTCTTTCCCCCCATGTACAACAGCAAACACAGGAGGTTTGTTTAGCTGTTATATCCAGTTGTACTTTCGTTTGTGCTGGTATTTTATGTACACAGGCTCTGCCCTGTGGAATGCTCAAAACTGATTTTTTTTTTTTTTTAGTAAGAGAGAAATGGCAACTAAAAGGTATTTTGGTTTCAGTCACGCAGCATTTGTAGTTAGCAGTCCATGCTCAATTCCCTACAAATCAAGTAGGTAACTCAAGTCAGTTGTCTGAGAAAGTCACATCACTTATTTAAAATGTGCAGGCTCTTTCTTCAGATAGCCTAGAAACAGAAAAACTTGGTGCTTAACAAAGTAAGGTCACACAAGGCACCTACTCTGCAAAAAAATTCTTTTTAAAGGAAAGAGGTGTTGGTTCATCTTGTTTGAAAGGATTAGAGTCAAAGAAAGATGATGTTATTGATCTACTTTCCTAGCACACCTTTGATCCTGAAACTGCAGCTCCACAACCTTGTTTGGGTACAAACGTAGCATCCCTAAGTTACATTTCCCTATTGCTCATATAAAGTTCTCTTGGAGATGCATTTAGAAGTTTATTGGTGACTCATACATGTATCTAAAATCACTTTTTATATTTAAGCACTAAAGGATATGAAAATCCCCAAACCTATAAGGCAAAGCTGTTATTAGCCACTCTGCAGATTTAGCAGACATTGTATAAGCATTGGACAGGAATGCTTATAATAAAAATAAACCCTCATTCTTCAGCTGTACTAGTTTAGGAATGGCTTTAGAATTAGCATATACTGTGTATTTCCTTAAGACATAAATGGGGTGGTTTTTTTTTCACCTGAGTGAACTAATCTTAAACACTGAAAAACTAGGTATCACATCAAAATAGGTATCACATCAAGCTAAACATTTATTTTCTATAAAGGCTCTCCTTAATACTCTAATGCACAAAGATGTATTTCAGAGGGAGGGAAGAGGATGAGAAGAAAGGGCAGCTGTCATTAAAGATCCAGAGCATGTTAAAAAACTAAAGAATGTTTTTCAGAAGACAACTCAGGGATAACCAGCTATATGAAGGGATTTGCAGGATAGTAGTAATATTAATTTGAACACAAAAGACAGCCTATAACTAACAATTACATTTTGGACTACCTTCAAGTCCTGGCTCAGGAATTTTTATTCTCAGATACAAATGGATGAAACATCTTTCAGAAGCAGCGAAGATAAGTCTCTGTTAAAGCTCCACATTTTATAGCACTTATGCCTTGCTTATGTATCTGTTAAGTCTGTAGTGCTGTTCTTCTAGTTTCTTGAAAACAGCAAAAAATTTTCAGCAGAGAAAATGAAGTTTATGTGGAAAACTTTGTAGGATGGTCAAGTTATCTTTCAATGCAAAAATATTGCCTCTCATCTATTAAAGATATAAATGAGTAAAAACATTTAAAATTGACCTACAAAGAACAAGATTTTAAAATAGAACTGACAGATTTTCTTTTCTTGTATTATGTATTATGAACTAATTTATCTTATAAAGCTAATTAAAAGACAGGTGAATTTGAAAGTCAGAGACAGAAAACCCAAACAAATTAATAATAGTTTTAATTTAAAAAACTGGAATACTCAACACACACAAGACAATCAGTGTCACCCATTCTCTGCCAAAATCAAGAATATATGCAATATATCTTGTTTCTCTCTGTAACTTTAGCGCATACAAAACCAAACTGTTTCACAATTGCATCCTCTTTCTCTGCTTGAGCCTGTCCCTGTTCTTTAGATGACTCCAGTTGCTGATGACTAACAGTCCTGAAATAATGATTCAAGAATATGCTCGTGAATCCCCCAGATGATATGTGGGGAGGGACGGAGAACATGGAGAAGATTGTTCTCAACATGCATTTCATCTGCACTGTTAATTGGCCCATACTCTGTGCTTTCCTGTCTTTTCCAAGTTATGGATCTTTGTAAATGCCCCAAGGATAAGGAAGCAAACACGTGCATATGTTCCACCTTGCCCCACCCCAGGCTCTTTTAAGAAAGAGGGGGAAATTAATGTCAAAGTTGTTGAGGGGTTTTTTTCCATTTTAAATGATTTAAAACTTTTCCCATGTAAGCTCTCAGCAATTCCACTGAGAGATCATAGACTAGAGCTCTGCTGGAACTAAATGTGCTAAGTTTTGTATGATGCTATGAAGTTTTTTAAGTCTCAGATCTTTCCTCCAGTGAACCAGAAACTTGAGCAAGGTACATTAAACCAGTTTCCTCCCTGTTTACAGATTAGCACCAACTTTAATGTTCCTTGAACTCCTCCAAATAATTTTTAAGGCACTAAAGATCTTGACCCATTTTAACGTTGTTTTATTTATGACACTCCTTTTTCTCTTATCCAGCCTTCAGAAGGGAAAGCTTCCCATATTTGTAACTGGATAATACTTGAGGACAAAGAGATGAAAATATCAAATCCAATAAATAGAGGTACCCACCTAAAAGCTAGGTAGGGATTTCAGTTCTTGGCCCCAGGATGGATACAAAGCCAAGAACCTGGCAAAAAAGCCTACATTCACAGTCAAGCCTGGGAAGAACAAGATGTCTCAGGAGAGAACATAAGCAAAAAGCTACTTAGGAATAATCTAAATAAAACATGCAGATACTCTGCGAGTACCTACAAGGGCCTAATAGTAAGAGGAGCTGTGCAGAAAGGTGATTCTCAGCCTGTCAGAATGCGTGTGCACACAGAATCCATCTGATCCTGAATGCACAGATTTTTCACACGGGCCCAGGCCCCGCTTATTGCAGATTCTGTGGCCTTGATGTGTTTGAGCTGGACCTGGGTGTGTGCTGTGAGGAGCAGTTTACACTTTTTCTTTGGAGGAAGCAGATTCCTGTTGACTTACCTGTTGACAAGCAAACAAGACAGGGCCTGTGGCCAATCCAAGCTTGAGATCTGCTGCTGTTGGCTTCCCCAGACGGTCGGCACACGATGTAAAATCCAGCACATCATCTATTAGCTGGGGAAAAAATAAATAGGCAGATTATTTAGAAACTTCCTTTTTTAAAAATGAGAACTAAATACAGAATAATCCTTGTTTAAGAAAAGATTTGCAGAAAGGATTAAGACAGCCCACTGTGATTTCTAAGGCAGTTTGGAGAAGTTTAAACATTAGATTCCTTTTAGTTCAACAAAAGCACTACCTGAAAAGCTATGCCAACATTTTTTCCATACTGGTATGCAATCTCATGAACTTTGGGATCAGGGCAGCCTAGAATTGAAACCTGAAAAGACAAAAAAACCCAAGTAAATAGAAAGCTTTAGTTAGCATCCACTTTTAGTCCATAGGTGTGACATAGCCAGCACAGGCAAGAGGGATCTGGGAAAGGCAAAAAAAAAGCTGACTCAGGGGCACATTCTTGCTTATCTCTGTTCATGGAGACACACAATGAGCCAAGCTTACTAGAAAACAAGGCTGAAAAGCAGTGTGGTATTAAAACTATATTCAAGTCTGGAAAGAGATTAGCTTTACTGAATATTTATTAGATTAAAAAATTATAATGCAGGGATAAAGAGAGATGTGGATGCACTGCACATACAGGCTAGTGGTCATATACATTCTGGTGACAGGGAAATTAAATTTATTACATATATAAATCAGCTAGGGGGTAATTGGAGGTCAGACATCAGATAAATGGACCTTACATGTCTCATAAAAGGTCATAGAGCTGGAAGTGCTGAACCCAGTACACAAGGGGCAGTTGAGATAAGGAAGATTATTTTTAAGGTGATGTTAACTGTAACTGACTTGCTCAGGAAGATGACTTAATTAGCTTGCAGGCAAAGGTATTGAGGGATAATTAGTGGCAAAGAAAAGACAGCACACCAAGCTGGCAAAATTATCACTAAACTGACATAAACAAAACAGTTTAATTGAGTACAGATAAAGGAATCCACTATCTGAGAGACAAAAATTTTGCTGAATAAACTCCACAAAACTAAAATACAGGACATAAGGTTTGAGAATTAATATCTTGCCTCAAAATAAGGGCAGTTATGCTTTTGCATTTAAGCACTGAGTGTACACTTGACAAAATCAAGTTGGTTATATTTATATACTCAGATTTATTTCATCCTTCAATAAAGCAATTAGGAACGGGGGCAAAAATCCATCCTGGTTTACTGCAGGCATTCCAAATCTGCTGTGACTAAGGGAAGGAGTGAAGATACATTTTATTTAACTTAAGACTAAAATTACATGTTGGGAAAACCACACAATATAAAAATACATATATATAAACCCCAAATATATTTATATAAATTCCTCTTTAGGACTATGTAAGGTAAGATCATTAAAAAAAAAAAAAAAACAAACAACAAAAACACAACCCCAAAAACAACCCCAAATTAAAAGCAAGTCCAGTAGTAGCTTTGAAGGTGAACATGAGGAGGGAAATAAGAAACAACATTATATTCTAATAAATGTCATGGCACAAGATTAGAGATTATTTCATGCACCAGTGCACTTCATAACTGAGCATCAGAACACCTCCCACTCGTAACCTGCATCCCTGGATAATAACTAAAACCCAGAGGAATCTGGATGCCTGAGGCATTAACAGCATCTCACTTCCCAATTTTATTTAAAATAGAAGAAAGGTATAGCAGGAAAATACTACTACTTATGCCTAATAATCATACAAAATCCTGAAGGCTGTTAAACAGAGTGAACTGCAAATATGAGATATTTAAATAGATGTTGCTAGGGAGTATCAAACTAGAAGATTTTGCCCTTTTATCCTCCTTTTGGTACTTGTCTCTTAAATAGCAGTATTTGCCCTAGAGATCCAACATATACTGCTGTACCATGCCTAGCAAACTTCTGGTTGCTTCTGTAATATAAATCACATAATATCAGCAGGGCAGGGGGACTGTTTAAATAAAATCTTTACCTACCACCGGATTAAAATATGGGTTTCAGTAGAACAATATCCTGGTTAATGGCAAAGGATCAGAACGGGCACTAGTTGGCAGAGGCAGAGAGGAAGTGCCATGTAGGGAGAGGAGCTGACTCATTTAATCTGAGAAGTCAGGAAGAACAGAGCTATTCCCGTCAGTGGACAGTTTTCAGGGGGCACAAACATCACCTATACAAAGAATTCCACCAGTGTATGTTCATGCAAAAAACAACCATTAGATACAGAATTTAACACAAGAAAAATTCATCAATGCACAATTAACTCTTGCATCTTTGCAAGAGAAGACTCTCATAGCTCCTGTTCAGGTTCAGGAACATTTCTTGTTCATAGACAAAAAGAAGACCAAAAAAAAAAAAGGACAAAATCCAGGAGACTAATCTGCCAGTCATCCTAAAGTGAGACACCCTCTGACCATGACCATAAACCTGCAACATGGCTGGGTTGTGTCTACCAGGGAGTTCCTTCAGGATGCAATTTCTCAAAATGCTCTTGTAGGTTATTGCCACCACCTGGACACTCACCAGGATGCAGCCAGGCAGCTTGTCAATCCCACATGAAGTTTAACTGAAGCCATACTGGGATAATAGCATGCATTTGCAAATATAAATCAAGGTAACCAAGTCAGTACAATGACATGTTTAAATTCCAAAGCTCACCTCTTAAAAACATCCTATAGCTCCCCTAATAGAAATGACTTGTTGATGACAAATTGCAAGAATTCAGACCTGTCCTCCACTAAATCATGATGAAAAATCCTAATACCAAGTGAAACAAATTCTTTAGAAATGTTCTCTAAATTCGATAAGGCAAGTCAATGTGCTCGGTATTATTTCAAACACACTTCTTGCAATAAAAAGTTGTTTCTAGTATGTTATGTGAGAGACTATAAATCAATCTTGCCTCTTACTGAATTTCACATCCATAAAGTACATAATCAGCTCTGGGCAGATAGATCCTGCTCTGATTTTTAATATGTGACAACATGGCAGTTGGTGTTGAAAGCACTTGCACATTTCTACCAGTGCCCTGCAGGTCAAAGAGGAAAACCTGCTGCTGGGCCAGGATATGCTTGTATACACAGTACAAGAGATGTTTGTTCTTGCACTCCTAGATTTCTGAAAAGGAAAAGGCTCTAAAAGCTTCCCCTTTTCCAGCCTTTCTCCTCCATGCCCATCTCTGGAAGCAGTCAGGTTCCTGCCTTCTCATTCATGGCTCATCCGCTGCTCTTTCCAGAAGAATCACAGAATAGTTTAGGTTGGAAGGGAACTCTGAAAGTTATTTCGTCCAGTAATCTGCTCAAAGCAGTTTACTTCATAGTTAGATCAGGTTTCTAGGGGCTATGTCTAGTTGACTTCTGAGCATTTCCAGGGATGAAAAATCCCACACTCTGTCTGGGCGACCTGTTGCAGTGTTTGACCAACCTCATGGAGAAATTTTTCCTAAGAGCCAGTTGAATTTTTCCATGAACTTGTTCTTTCACTGCACATCTCTCTATCCTCTCTGTGCCCTCCTTTGGATTCCCCCCTTTGTCTTCTCTACTCCAGACTAAAACCAGCTCTTGGCAATATCATTTGCTCCAGTCCCTTCGCTGAACTCGCTCCAGTGTCCATGTCTGTCCTGGATGAGGGAGCCCAGCCTTGTGGTCTCACACATGCTGAACAGAGAACAATCCCTGCTCTGGATGTGCCGGCCACGCTGGCAGTGATGCACCCACAGTGTGCCTGTCCCTCCCTGCTGCAGGCGCATCCTCACTTCCTCCAGGATCTTCAAATCCCTTTTGCTAACTGCTCTTGCCAAGGGGGTGGTGAAGGCCTCCCTGGGAGAGGGAGATGATACCCAGCAGAAGCCCCACACACTGCGGACAACTATTTTGTCCCAAACCTGCATTTTCACGCATTTGACCTTTTCTCAAGTAACTAACATTTTAACATGCTAACCAAGTACCTGTTTATGAAGAATTGTACTTCTACAGAAATGTTATCTGCCTGAATATCTGTGAGATGTTTATGCTAATCTTTTTCATAGCAAACATTATAAAGAAGAAATATCCCCAAAGAACTGACTGTATTTTAAATAATAAGGAAATTTACTAGCTGTCCGTAATATCTGATGCTACTGATGCTATTACCCTACATCTGTCATTGGTCATTATTGCAGTCTTTGTGCTTAGCTGGGCTGGGGGGACCAATTCTGCTGGTGGGGACCAGAGATCTCATTTTCCTAGACACCACTTCCACACTGCTGTAGGTTTTCTGATGGAGCCCTGTGCACACACCAAACGATGAACTAGTTACAGCAGGAGCTCACAGGCAGATCCAGAGCTGCAAACTGTTTGTTTTCTTGGGTCCCTAAGGCAGACCTTCCACACACAGCCTCGCCTCACGCCAGGAGGCTGCATGCTTTCTCCTAATACAGAAAGCAAGAATTTCAAGTGCAACTTTACACTTACCTCAAAGCAAGCATGATTTAATCCCTCTTCTGAAAGTATGCTGTGCAAAATATAAACGGCCTTATGAGGCTTAGGAATTCACATTGTAGCAGGGTAAAAAAAAAAGAAAGAGAACCTGCTCAAGATATTTTGCCATCTCCAGTTTGCCTGATGACTAAACAGAAATTCCACTTCAGCTTTATTGTTTCTGAATTCTTGAACCAAAGTCACCTCTTGTGTTCCTTTGAAAAATGCCTTTCAGTAACTAAGGCTGCAGTGACCGTCTGGGCCATCTGCCACCATTTCCTTTTGCAATTTATTACTTTGACTGAAACTTTGTAACGTTCCCCCAATGCAGAACTATTGTAGAAATAAACTGGAGACTGGGATAGCTCTAACCTCTTGAACAGACCATTCCATCTATATAAAAAAAGTATTTTGGTAACTTAAAGGACTTTGATTTAAATGCAGTAATGCTTTGGCAGTGCAGAAGGTATCTAATACAGCGACTAGGCTGGTGCTGACAGACTCTCTATAATCTCACTTAGACATTTTTCTAGGAACACTCTACTCTTCCATCTCTAGAATGTAGAATGCTAAGATGCCACCTGAACTTGTCTGACATCTTTCCAGTTAATACTTCCATTTAATTTATGCACAGCAAGAAATCAGTTTTTTCCTATCATTACAGGAACTGAACTGCTTTTAATGGCACACTGGCCTGGTTGTAACTGATGTTCTGAAAACCAATAATCTCTCTCCTTTAGCTTTGTCCCTAAAAAAAAAAAAAAATGAACACTCTTGATTCCCTAACTGAATTTCAAGCTAGAACTGATGATCTTGCTTATTACTGTTGCTACAGAAAACAGAACTCCATTCTGATTCCATCCATTTCCTTAGTAGCCAAAGCCATCTGAACAGAAATGTGTCAAAACCCAAACACACCAAAAAAACCCCACATCTCAAACAAAAAAAATTCCCTTTTCATTGCTATTGATGGAGCTCTCCTAATCCATGCAGAAAGAAACTGAGGGAGACACACATACACAACTCATTGCTTCTCTGTGCAGCAAGTATGGTTTTGCCATGAAGACAGTCCTCTCACTCGGTTTTCCTTTGTAACACAAATCTTACAGCATATAAAATTCCAGCAATTCAGCAATGGAACAACTCAGACCAGCCACTAGAAGAAAAGCAGCCAAACATTCCACCCCCTTCCCCCCCCAAGCATTACAGCCCAATCTTGAGAGAAGTGCTTAAAGCCTTAACTCTGGCAAGTCAGGAAAAGGAAAAAGCTCAAGTTAGCACGTTTGTAAGGAGAACCCACCCAGTGGGAAGGTGATTCCTTCTATCTGCAAATAGTATTTTAGAGAGACTGTCAAAGTGAACAAAAAAATGTGTGTATGTTTTTAGTCTAATTCTCTTAGAACTCCCTCTTGCTATGGAATACACTAGAATACACCAATATACTGCCTTTAATTGAAAAAAATAAAACTCTCTTGGGATAAGATTATTGCCTAGCTTCTCCATTTTCTGCACTACAACTACACATGTATTTTTGAATAAGAACAATCTTGAATTGGATCATATTGTAATCAAGTAACAGAACTGAGTGATAGATAGAATTGGATATAGCAATTGATAATTAAAACCCGCAGACAAATCAAGGAGTGCATGCTTCTGTTCTTTTACAATGTGGTGTACAGTATAAACAATTAATTGTTTCATCTCACTGTTATCATTTACGGTCTCAATACCAATGGGTTAGGGATAGATGCCAAAGATGACTTAAAATCAAATTATAGGCTCAAGGATGATCAACTGAGATGAAAACCACTGCCTCAAGGTTGGAGAATTTCATAAATTAAAGGCTGCCACTGTGATCCTTATTTTGAGTCAACTGAGGATAACAGTAAATCTGTGTATGAATAAAAAACAGAAAAGAAAAAGTGAAAAACAATACTGGAGGCTACACAGCTCAGTTGTGATAAAATTCACAGTCTCAAATCCATTCACATTCTGGCTGAATACCATTTAAAGGGTTTGCTTTTCCAGAGAAAACAGCAACAACTGGGAGTTGAGCTCTGAAGCTCACAGTATGGTGTGTTAACTCGAGAAGAGACAGACGTACATACTGCTTTACAACTGTTTGCTATAAGACTCGCGGTCTTCTTAAAAGTCTTCTCGAGGTAGTGAGCAAATCTCTCATTCTCGTTTTCCTTGGAACCCAACTGGAGGAATTCACCTAAAAAGATGCACAGATGGGAGGTTTTATTTGTGGGTTTACTGCTTAGGCAAGCAAATCTGAAGAATAAATAGAAAAAGACCTTACCACGCACCAGATCTTCAATCACCTGAGTTAGAACAGAGATGATAGTAGTATTTCCAATTCGTGCTAAAGCTACAGAAGCAGCTGAGAGGATGAAGTCACCAGCTAGAACAGCCTAAGAATAAAAAAAAAAAATTAAAAAAATACAACTTTCTTTATTTGGCATATCTACTCATATCACATAACTTTCCTACATAAAGCACAAATATGTCACTGTAACAGAAAAAACAGAAGATCACCAAATATTGAAATCAAAGTAATTTTTAAATCTTATATTTTTCTGTATAAGCTCTGTCCTCCCTGTATGCAATACCTGAATATGTGTTTGCCTGTGAATTTTTTTTTTGAACATTAGCTCTCTCTTTGACCATTCTGTTGTGACTTAGACCATGTGAACTCTGAATTGCCGCAAGTTCTGGTGCGTCAGCAGTGTATTTCCTTCCTTGCATTTTCTGGTAAAGACCTTCCTTGTAATGAGCTATGAAGAAATACACCACTCTCAAAAAAAATTTCCTGCTGACTGAAAACGTTTTTGTTTTCACTACTGATCAGACTAATACACAGTGTTCAGGATGAAATGCAAGTTCAAGGTTCTCCAACAGCGCTGCAGAGAAAGGTATAGGAAATGTAAAATCAGTAAGAATCACAGAATGGGGCAGGCTGGAAGGGACCACACAGTCATTTGGTCCAACCTCCCTGCTCAAGCAGAGTCATCCTAGAGCACATAGCAGAGGATTGTGTCCAGACAGTTCCTGAATCTCTCCAGTGAGGGAGACTCCACAACCTCTCTGAGCAACCTGTTCCAGCGTGCAGTCACTGCACAGTAAAGAAGTTCTTCCTCATGTTCAGGTGGAACTTCCTGTGCATGTTTCTGCCCTTTGCCTCTTGTCCCATTGCTTGGCAACACTGAGCAGAGCCTGGCTCCATCCTCTGGATACCTTCCCTTCTGATACTTATAAACACTGATGAGGTCCCCTCTCAGTCATCTCTTCCCGAGGCTGAACAGGCCGAACACTACACACTACAGTCACTCATTATCTAATGTTTTCAACAGTTCAGAAATGGAACACACATTTGTCTCACCCACAAACTGTGTACACCTCTTCATACTTTCTCCAGCATATCCCAAGACCTAAGGATAGTAACTTTAAAAAACTCTAGGTGTTTGTGCTTTGCTGAAATTAAAAGGCAAGTCTTGCATTATTAGCAAACTCACCTTCCTCTCTCCCCAGATTTGATTAAGCGTCCTTTTTCCTCTGCGAGAATTTGCATCATCAATAACATCATCATGAACTAGACTGGCTGTGTGGATCATCTCAGCAATTATGGCCACAGAGCGCTGGCTTGCTTGCACTTCCCTAAAACAAAAAAACAAGAACAGTCAAACAATTAAATCAGTTACATATGCTGCAATACGCTAAAAGAAATCTCTACTAAAACAATATAAACGTTTTTCTGAAAACAGCTGTCGCAGCTTTTCTATGATATGAACCCCATTTTCAAACCTGGAATTGGGAAGACAAGAGAAGTTAGGATCACAATACAGTAAGTGCAGTGGGATGTTTCCATCCTTATTAAAGGCCTATTTCTACCTTGCCGTATTAACACTACTGCAAAACTCCTGCTTTATTGACTCTAATCCCCCTAAATCCAGACGGCATTAAATAGCACGGCATCAAGTACTCTTGGTTTCAAGAAGATGGAAAACAGCAGAGAAAAGAATGACAGGTACCTTTGTAGATGAGTTTTAAGTTTTCCTTATCTCTGTGTTGCTCTATCTACAAACCAGCATCACAAACTCCAAAGCTGGATAACTATACTAACCAGCAAGCTGGAGAGATCGGAAGGCACAGAAACCTGTATTCTGCATTTGAAAGACATAACTCATGGATCTTATCCTTTATGTTATCTGACTACCTTAAAACCTCAGAGGTTCTTAAAAGCCTGAGGACTCAACTGGAATTATACTGCAATCACTTCAGGACTGGAAACACCAACTACCTAACACTTACTGGAATTCAGCCTTTGGGAAGAACTAACACTGATGAGTCAACTCTCAGGAGTTCACACTTACTTTATTTTTTAAACTAGGTGAAAAGAAGGTAATGGAAAAACATAGAAGCAAATATCTAGGGAATAAAACTAGCAAAATGAGCATACCTAGCTCTCACAAAGGACCATCTACCCTAGTATTCAAACCAGCACTGCCTTATTCTGTATCCATCTTTTTTTCTACCCCTTTTCATCATGGGTTACATGCAGGATCCCAGAAATGGCTATCCCAGCCAGGTCATAGCTGTAACAAGCCCACACGGACACAAAACACCAACAAAATCCAATTTTAAAAAAACAAAAATTACTTCTGATATATAGATACCCTACTTCTTGTATACAGACAACACAGAAAATCACACTATTTTCCAGCAGAACAAAAAAAGAACTGAAACAAAAGACAATAATTCCAGCTCAGCTGTAGGAAATTTAAAATCTTCCTGTACTGCCTATGTCTATTAAAATGTAGTGATTAATCACAAAATGGAAGAACATCTTGCAGTCTGCTGACATAACACTGCATTCTGACACCTACCTCTACACAGAATTCTGCATTGCTGTCAGTGGGAGTTTCATATCCTGAACAATAGCAGGATGAATGCATAGCTCACAGGCTCTGAAAATGTGGCTTTTACACAACAGAAAATAAGAGCTGGAAACCTTCATGGTGGTTTGAAGGCAAGTTTTACTGTGGAGTAATAATTTAGTCAAATGCTAGGTCAGTGTAAATAGTTTTCCAAAATAAACTGTTCTTACTAAGTAGGAGAAAACTTACCTTCAAAAAACTGTAAAGGTCTCCAGCCTCTTTCATGCACTGGTCTCCTTTTGGGGATTCCCTTTTTCATTAATAATGTCAGCAGACTGGACTTCCTGCTGGGAAGCAGCAGTAAATGGCAACACTCAACTGACACACCAAAATCTTTCAGTAGTATGAAGACAGTACAAAACCAGATATTTGAAAAGCAGGTTTTGAAAAGTTCTGCATTTTAGTGCACGTCATCTCTGACAATGACTAAAAATGGCATAGGAATGCTCATGGCTCATGTGTCTGGTTTCCAGAATGTTATATCAAATGTGATAATTTAATCTGAAAGGTTTTTTTAAACTACTATTTCCACAAAGTCTTGAGCAAGATTCTTTCCGTCGCTGGAAAAAAAAATCTGCAATAGTTTCCTACAAGCATCTTGTGAGAGTAATTCTGAATCAGAGAATGCCTATTTTAGGGGAAAACACAAAAGAAACAGGATCCCTTCTTATTCCCTGCCATTTTTCATTCAGCTTTGCCTGCAAGACAAAAGCAAAGTGTGGCAGAAACTCAAGTCAATAAGTAACTGTGCCCACACTTATCCAGTAAGTGGAAAGATGCCATTTTTAGGTCATTCTCAAAGTAAAGATACCCCAAGATGATATGTATTCACACAGTTTTTTTGTGCAACTCTAAGTTTATCTTTTTACACATGCAAAATACTAAATTTTAAGTCCTTGAGCATGTTCTGTTTTTCAGGAGGACCCCCCTGCTTGATTCTGTGATAAGACTAAAGACTTACAGTACCTTGAGGTGTTTTTCATTACAGGACTTGTTTTATGTACACTGAACAAGACCAAGGCTGACCTTACAGGTTAAAACAAAGATCTCTCTCTACAAATATCCCTCTTCAAAAAAAAAAAAGACAAAAACCCCACAAATAGTGAGGGGGGAACTCAAAATGATGCAAACCAGTATTTACACTCTGTAAAACAAAGAGCTTTGCAATGTGTTTGCCAATAAGTAAATATTGCCAGTTTAAAGACAGGAAATTGCAAGAGAATTCGCAAAAGAACTTGCAAAATTTCTGTTTTATAATCACATTTCATTTTTTTTTCCATAAACACAACAAATGCATTTCTGCTGCTAAGCCCCTGTGGCTGAAACAACCATCTCAGAAACACAGTCTGTGACACGGAGGGGCACTACAAACTAGGGAAAACACAAATAATGTATGTGTTAACATGGGAGCAAATTGCATAGCAGCTGAAAAACAGCAGAGTACAGGCTTCTAACAACCATAGTTTGGGGGAGTGAAAGAGGACTAAGGTTGCTGGCAGGTCCTCATACTTTTAGGAAATATTATTCTATTGGGTTTAGCATGGTCATCATAGATAAATGTTTCTCACACTATTCTGATGAATTTACTTCCCTTTTCCCCCCTAAATCTGTGCTCACTATTTTCTCTATTGAGATGTCTCTGTACTTCTTTGGTCCTTTCTTTTTGGTCTCTCTCAAGTTTGCTTGCAGAAATAGAAACAAAAACTCTTATTTGCAAACACCTTTGGAGAATACACTCTAAACAGAAACATTAGCTCCTGTCAAGCTAAGTGGCAATTCTGTGAAATTCTGCACACAGGTATGTGAAGAAATGCCACCAGATGTGTGAAATTGAGGGTTTGGATGACCTCAGCTTAAACTATTTACAACAATTCTCACTCTCACACATAGCTAAGTTGCTATTAATAAGCAAAAAGCCACTGCCCAAGGGACTTGGACTTTTGGCACTTAAGACTTCAAGAGAAAAGAAACGACATACCAACAAAGAACAATATGAATGCTTCAGCCACTTATATTTTTGATAACAGTTCAGGTAATTCTTTATTACAACTGTCATTTTCCTTATTATGACTACAATAAAGTGGCCTCACGCTAGAAAACAGTTAACCTGCTGAGCATATTCTAAATACTTCGTCTTCCTCAAATCTGGACAGAAATGATCCTGTCACCTAACCTGTAAGCAGAGCTATCTGGGCATTCCACTCCATTCTCTTGAGAAGTCTCAGTTACTCTGGTGGGACTCTGTGAAGACAAAGAGGTCTCTCTGCACTGCTTCCTGAGATCAGGACCTATAACCTTAGTCAGTTGAGTCCTTTTATTGTAACAGACAAAACAAAGTATTCCTTTTATACAACTACTGCACAAAAGAAGAAAAAAATAACCCCAACAAATGAAAGAGCAGGCAAAAGCATGCTGGGTCCAGCAAGTTATATGACAGTTAAAAATGGCATCAAGATGAAGCAGAAACTCAACAACAGTAACACAAACCCCAGAGGCAAGATAAAAAAGAAAAATGCTAGGGATGAACAGCACAGGATATTGGTTCACTCTGCAGGTCTACAGATACTGCAGTCAGTATCTTTGACTACATCTGTGGGAACCAAAGCTTCAACAAAATAAAACAAGTCTGGGAGAAGAATCAATATTAACTGAGGAAAAGAATGACAAAATGCTTTAAGGGAAACGACAAGTTGAAAGAGGAAAAACATCTTAAATAGTGTTGCGAGAAGCAGAATGAAAGGCAAGTATTTTTCCCTTTGGGTCTACAGAGAGGACAGCAGACTTACAAATACAGTGTTTCCTTCTCTACATATAAAATTTTCCTCACAAACATTAGTAAGTTGGAAGAACAAGTTGTCACCTGGAAACAATGCTGCTTTAAGAAACAATAATAACGAAACCAGGATCAGCGTGAACTGGAAGCATATGCATATGCACAGCAGGTGTAACACAGCCTGCTTCGAGAAGCTTGAAAGCAAAGGAGAAGAAAACGCCCATAAAACTTCATTAGTCACAGGAAGTGGGTACCCACAGTATGAACATGCGTTCTTTTGACAGGGCCCAGCCAACCCGCAAAAAACATCGGTCATCATGCATGAACCAAAGAGCATTACAGTGAAGACTTGTACCAACATATGTGATATTTAAATACAATCACAGGCTTAGAGAAATTGGCAAGAGGCAAAGAAGAGGAAGGTAAAAACCCTGAGATTCCATTATATTTCTTTGCTGAAACATTTGTTCTCCCCACTCAGGCTTTCATTTTGAAAGCAACATATCAGAGACAGTGACTCAGTCTGGCTTATACAAGGAACATTCAGATAATTGAGGAGGCTTTTAAAACACCAAACTGCAACAGATGTACAAAAGCTGCCAAATGACACAGGCATGTATAAATCAGAGGACTTATGCTGAGGGTTGGCTACTGCAAAGCAAACACTTGCCCCAGGCATATGTGTCACTTGAAGTCAGACATCACACTTTCTCACTGGCATAAGGCAGGTCTCAAAACTGGTCTTGATGGTTTTGAGACATGGACAAGACTATGTCTTTGAGCATATACGTAAGTAAGAAAACAGCAAATACACGTTGAAGCACAAAGGCAAATTCAGTCTTTCTACCATTCTTTGATTCACTTTTCAACTCCCACACTATATGACATCAGTTCCAGCCTTCTCAGTATTGCAAGCATAATTTCATTCATAAGCTCCTCATGCTACACACTCGAATGAGATAAAATTATTTTTTACTGTTATTCTGACTAGAAAGATGCTCCAAAACCTGACTGCCCCAGCTGTTAAAAGTCTCCTAAATTTCCATCCTCTTAGCAACGTAAGTCTTTGTCTTAATAGTTCTTTCACCCTGTTCCTGATAAATTGCAGACCACAAGTCTTCATTCTCCCTAATTATCTCTGCAGTCCATGCCTGAAGCTAGCTGGACTTCTTTTGAACACCGGGATCCAACACTGAATCTGATGATTTCAGAAAGTGTCTTATACGTTTCCATAGCTGAACTGGGTATACTAGGGTTGGCACGTGCTAGGATAACTTCCAGGTTTTTCATAGAGAATGTGGCTGCAAACCACACTGCGGTTATGCCCTAACAGGACACACATGCCCTAACAGGACGCTTGCAAGCTCAAGCAGAAATTTTTGGTTTATTGTGCTTCCTTACATTCCACCATGGATGGCTGATCATCAAGAATGGTTTTGTCATCAGAAAGTGCCGTCATCATGTTCCTGTTTTTCAGGTCAAGATCACTCATGAAAATATTAAGCTAATCAGTGCTGTGACAAACGACATCCCTGAGGATGTTTCACAACCAGTATTATTCCTTTTGCTATCTCTAGAACCATGACATAGAGCAGTTCTGAATGGAGAACAGAATCAAGCTGGAGCAAAGTTCACTAATCCTGGACAGTGTTTTTGTAAAACAAGGAGAATTGGCACACACAGTACAGGACACTACCAACTAGGTTTTGCTTTCTCCTTCAAAACTACATTCACATAGGAGGGGGGTATTCAGGGAGAGGTACCATAAAACAGCAAAATATATGCCATGCTCTGAGGTGGTAATCAAGTCCAACAAGGCATTAAATTACTGCTACAGAAAAGTTGATACAAGAGCTCAGAGAAATTCCCTTTAACACTGACAAATTAGTCTAGAAACTCTTCTGGAAAGAGACCAAAGATTTGCTATTTGAAATTCTATACAAGGCAAGACTGGAAGCGTAGCTAGAAGGCAGAGAACACTCCAGCCAACGTTTTTCCTCAAAATGCAAACACAGCACTGATGTGGAGAGAAGCATTTGCAATGAGCCAAGGAGTGATAGAGAGTATAGGTGAGCGTGACATTCCGCTCAGTTAAAACTGCTTTCAAAAGACAAGCTCATAAGGATTACACCAGCTCTAAGCTTAGAATCTTACATTACAGTGTAGAAACTTACATCTAGAAGGTAAAAAACCCCTCCTGTTTCGAATGTCTCACAGCTTTGAATATAATCCTTCCAATTGCTTAATGACTTTTCTGCATAATTACTGAAAAAACCTATGAGAGTCTGTTCTCACAGCAAAGTTCTTACCTGTGAAAAGAGCTTAATGGGAACATGAGTGGTTACAAATGAAAATACTTTTAATGAAGTTCATATAGTTTCTAATAAAGCATTTATGCAAGAAGCTAGAATTGACTAAATTTGGCAACATTATTTATCCATTACCAGTTACAAGCCCAGTCTGCAATTTTATACAAGGAAACATGTAATAAACCCGGCAGTGCCTTTTGCTCTGGTAACTACAAAATATAGTTTCAAGGTGGAACTTCAATTCAGGTTTTACTGCGGACCGTTTTATTTTCATAAAGGTACTAGACGTATTTTTTGGAAACACATGAATTATAACTTTTGAGTATGATTTATGTATCTAAAAGTGACCAACTCACTTGGAATTATTATGGTGAATGTTGCAAGCCCGAGCCATTAGCACCACAATCATCGGTCGAAAGGCCTTTCCTTTCCCATCAAAGTAATAATCACACATTTCCTTAAGTTCTGATGCAGAGACAAGTAATTCCTACATAAAGGACAAGAACGTTTCAGCATAGAAGTCCAAAGTCCATCTCTTTAGTGTAAGTAAAACAATACGCGTTTGTAAGGTTATTGCCTGCATTCATCCCACCCAGTGTAAGTTGAAGTTGTTTTTAAAATTACTATGAGCAATCTGAAACATAAATATATTTCATCACTGCAAATCAGGAGAAAAAAAATTCCATTCTGGTTCTATAAAATATGAGAAATGATCCTTTTGCCTTCAGTTTAAGCTTCAGACAGTTGTCCGTAAACATAAATAATATTCTTTCAATAAATGTCCTCCAAGTTGATGGCTGCTATTAAAAACAATCATTGTAACATCCCAGAATAGTCACCAAAGTCCCTTACCTTTTTAATATCTTCATAGAGATTCTTCAAGTCTTTTCTACCAAGTTGAAAAGGGTCTTGGTATTTTTCATCACTAACTGTCTTACTGCAGCTGCACAAGTGGGATGTACTTGTATGATGAAACCTGGTGACAGTGTTTTTTAAGACAGTTGTTAAAAGCAAACTTTCCCTGATCCCCCAAACAGAGACATTTGAAAGCATTTCCTACTCCTCTTTCCTAACACAAGATGTAAGCAAATGGCTAAAATATATGAAGGCATCAAAACACTCTTTTCAGACACTTAGTAAGGTGTAAGGACAGCACAGCTATATATTGGTGATCATAAACCTTTAGGAGCTGGAAATCGCATTTGGTAAACAACAACAAACACCCCCCCTCCCATCCTTAACAGATGACAGAAGTCTTCTGAGACCCACAAAACCACATTGCTCTCAATGTACTCCTTTTGATTACACTATAGATAGTATAGCCTATGTTTGGAGATAAAGCCTTCATCTTCCCATAATACAAGTATTCTCTTAATTTCTTCCCCTTCTTGTAAACTCCTGGAAAAATATTCCTGAATTGGATTTGAAATTTTCTCATTTGCACACCCAGCTACATTCTACATTAAATCAATACTTCCAGGTAGCATGATGATGCTATGAAAGTTCATCAGGAAAGGGGGGAAGCTCCACCTGTATGCATCAAACATAGGTCTGATTTACTTTTTTTGTTTCCTGGAGTATGGAGTTTATGTTTCTTACTATATTTCCTTTTCCAAAGTGAACTATATGTATTTTCTTGCAGCATTCCTGCTTTGCCTGATACTCTCAAGGATAGAGGATGTGGATTCACATTCAGCACCACAGCAGCAGTCTACACAGAATTATCCAACTATTAGAGTGAGCAAAGTTTATAGCTCACAGGTGTAACTACTCAGTTCACCCAACAACTGTGTCTTTACCTGTTACACAACAATATGACTCTCCAACTTACCGCCAAAATACATTACATATTTTTGGAAACGACAAAGCTGAACTTCTTTGGGTAATGTGACACATCTGTACAAAATAAAACCAGGGTTAATTTATTAGAGCTTTAAACTGACAGAAAACATTCACTACAAAAAACATGTATCTGGTTATCAGCACCACTCTGTTTCTCCATTTTAACAACACAGCACCAAAGGGAGTCTCATAATCTCCTTCCATATCATGTGAGACATGAGTGATAGCGAGAGAATGTGCCAATAGGCACATTAAACTGACTCTTCCGCTCAGAAGTGTTGGACTTTCTCCCCCTGTAGGACCAGTCCATGAGCCTTATCAGTTAAATTACCAAAACAGCTCTAACGAAAGCTTGCTTTTGCACATGTGCAAGGTGTAATTTTCAAACGTTCCCTGTCCTGTAGATAAATCTGGACTGCACCAGTCAAGGAACAGAGAAAAGGGCAAGAGCTATTTAAGTAAACCAGTGTACTAACAGAAAAAGTACTTGTCCTTGTTTTTCCCTGAAGCAATTTCAATTCAGCTTGTTGCTTATGATAATTCACACCTGCCTATCTCCCTGCTAGATGTCCAGAAACTAACTTCCACACTTAGCAATATCTCCAATGATCTCTGCCTGCCGACATAGCCCAGGAGCCTGAGGGAAGGCACAGTCCCAGGCACTGACTCAGGGGCCCTGCTGGCCTGAGCCAGCCTGAAATCACTGCAATCCACGTGTTCACCAAACTGCCTCCGGAAAAGCCTGCAAAGGAGTGCTCAAGAAGATCTAGAACTAGAGAACCTGCTTCTCATGCCTCACTGTCCCCTTGTATGCAGATTTAAGTCTCTCCTTGGACGCAGGGAGCGAAACAAAAGCACTATAAATGGCTCAAGGACACCCTTTCATGCTTCTTGCGTATGAAAAAAGGCCATGCAAGGACACAAGGGAAGGACAGGAACCCTAACTTATCTCTCTGCAACTCACTGCTGTGACTTCAGTGTCCAGCTCTACGGCTGAGACCTTTGTAAGTTGCTCTCTCGTACATATGACCGTGTTCCGCTATTAAAAAATAGCTGATCTCTTTGTAATCTTCCTTCGATGAGGGCACACACAGACTCCCTCCATTGCACTGCTGCTTAACACTGTAAGACTGGCTCATGGGAAGATGCTGCACACATCAGACAGAGCCCTTTCCCGCGGGTCAGAACAGCCGCCTGGCCTTGTTAGGAAGCTGTAAACGAACGCAGTGAAAGAACTCCTCCCACTCCGACTCACACACAAACGCGTTCAAAATCTCACATTAATGAGAACTGCTTTCCCTGCTCCCGTCTAGAGAAGGCTCTGCGAGGTTCACCACACTCACCAGTGCTGCCGCGATAACCCTTAACCCACTGTTTAACCTTGCACCGAGCGCGCTCCTGCCCCCAGCAAGAACCCCCGGCCAGGGATCGCCTCCGGCCCTTCGCCCTTCCCGGGCGGGAGGCTGCGGGACGGCGAAGGAGCGGCGGCCGCGGGGTGACCGCCCGGCCCCGCGCCCCGCCCGGGCCCCCCGCCCCATTCATTCCGTGACCTCCCGGCGCCCGCCGCACTCACCGCGCTGGGGGCCGGCGGGGCGAGAGGGCCGGGGCGCGGCACGGAGCCGAGCGGCGGCGCCCGGCGGGACGAGGCACCGCACCGCCACCACCACCACCATCGCAAGGCCATGGTGTCCCCCGGCCCCGCCGCGCCGGCACCGCCTCTCGGCACCGCCGCGACCCGGACGCGGAAGCCCCGCGCCGCCTCCGCCCTCCAGCGGGGTGCCGGCAGAGCAGTGGGGCGGGAGGGGCGGGCGGCGGGCACCGCCACCGCCCTCCGCGGGGCGCCGACGGGGACGCCCGGGCGGCGGGCACCACCTGCGCCTCCCGCCGCCTCCTCTTTGAGGGAGGGAGACCTCAGGCCCAGTGTTTTGGGGGACTCGCTGAAGGTTTGGGGACATGTGGTGGCCCCTGGGGCTGGCCGCATGCCTGGCGTGGGGCAGCGTGGCCGCGCTGTGCGGCTCCCGCGGGCTCTGCCCGGCCCCGAACGCCTCCCGCCCCGAGCCGGGGCAGTGCCCGCGGCGCCGGGGGGCGGTGGAGCTCTGTGCCTGGGCCCTGTCCTCCGACAGCCTCCTAGGTACGGGCCGGCCGCCGACAGCCTCCTGGGCACGGCCTGTCCTCCCACAGCCGCCTGGGTACGGCCTGCCCTGCCCTGAGGCTCTTGCTTGATGGGTTACGGCAGCTACTAAAGCAGAAACTAAGTGAAGACCTGATATATACACAGATACTACTCTTAAAATTAAAATTGAAAGGTTTCTTTGGTTGGTTGGGTTTTTTTCCCAGTTAATGCAAAATTGATAACCTGACACCTGACTGGCAGTACACAAAGCGTTGTAGCTCCCAGGCACACGTAATTGCCTGAAATCGTTATGGTAATTTATATTATAACGTTACAGAACTCATTTCATCAGGTTACACAATTCCTTGTGAGCATTAACAAAACAGTGATAAGTCTTGTGTAAGTTGGCTATAACAGGATTTACAGTAGAGGTGTTGAGAAACATTGCTAACAGTAAGGGTCCAGAGATGCTAACTCAAAATTTTTACAAAACAATGTCTATAAAGTATTAGGATTATATAATTAATGCAGAATTGTAAGATTTTTGCAAGCAAAAATCCATAAAGATGGTAAGCCACACAGTATTAGTTAAGTGTTTTAAAACAATATTTGTCCTCTGTTACCATGGATCGGGGCACAAAACATGTCCAAAGGAAGAATGAAGCACATCTTCCAAGTACATATGTTCTGCTACAATGAGAACTACATCTTCAGAGCCTTTCATTCACTGTTTACATTGCTCAGAAAAGACTTCATCGGGTTTCTTAGGTTACGTGGTGATGACTGCTGCATATGGACTATACAAAGCAGTTACTGGTGCAGTTAAATCTGGTGCACTACACTGGGCAGCACTAAACTATATTTGTGGGAAAAGCTAAACTCTGTCTCATGTAAATAAATATCTTTTAGGGTTGTATATAATGCAGTGCAATATGAAACTGCTTAGATATGGTTTAGATCTTAAAAATAGCATGCCTTGCTAGATTCTTTGAACTGCAGAATTCAGTCCTTCTTTTCAAAAATTTCAAACAGAATAAAAACCTAAATTTATTTGGGCTTGCTTTTCATGCAGGCTTAATGTAGATTGTGGCAAATACTTCAGTTTTAGTTGTTTCTGAAGTATTTTGATTTGATTTAGGATGAAAGGTATTAGAAACATATGATTAATTTTTTTAAAAGACTTTTTCTCTCTTTCATGTTTACAGATCCTTTTCCAGTTGATGTAATCCAGGAAAATTATGTCCGTAATGTGAGAAACTGCATTTTTTCAATTGTCTATCCTACACCTTTTAAATCTAGAGTTCGTCTTGTAGCTGTTTCAAAGGTTGGCTGTTGTTTTTTGTTCCTCTCTAATTAGTAGAGATTCTTAATACATGTACTAAAGTATATTTTAAAGTATATTTTAATATTCATATGCTATTTATTGTAAAGCATCTCATCACTATATACTTTAAACATATTTAAAACATAGTTAAACATATATAAAACATGTTGTGAACTGTCTTTTAGTAACAAAATCTGTAGAGAAAACATATTCATTACCACTGAAGATTCAATCATGTTCAAGTACCATCTGTACTCTTTTTTCTTCAGGATGTTCTTGAAAATATTTTGGATCTTGATATATCTGTCAAAGGAACATCTGATTTTCTTGAGTTCGTCAGTGGTGGGAAAGTGATACTTGGATCTGTTCCACTGGCTCATAGATATGGGGGTCACCAGGTAACTGTGGCATTCACTTCTTCCAAGTTGAATTATGTAGAATTTTCATGTGAGTTATACCTTGATAATACCTGTAAGTACATGAACACTTATTAACATTTTGATTGCAGATTTGATTTTCATAAGGGGCTGCAGGTGTAAGAAAACTATAATATTCTTTCCCAGTACCATGTTTACTTCCTCTGCTTCTGTTTATGCCTGAAGCAAATTATCTTTTTAACTTCCATTAGCTGCCGACTCTGCTTAGCACCCCTGCAGCCTGGCCAGCTCTGATTTGTGGCAGATATTATCAGCTCAGAGGAGTGAAGAAGGGCAGAGCCTCGCTGCAATACCATGATTACTAAGAGTTAAGTTTTATTGCAAGTGGTATGATTATTAATGGAGAAGAATGGTAGAATTTGGTTTGTAATTTCCAGTGGAAAAAACCAAAACAAGCTGTGTGAGTTTAAAGGCTCGTTATACAAAAGAGGCAGGTCTGTAGCTGTACATCATAGCTGGAAGGTTACTGCTATTATTCTTTTTCTTTGGTTTTCCAATTAATTATTGGTGTGAGCGTGGAAATACAGCTTTAGGGATCAACCTCTTAATGACTGTGTGAGACAGTGTGTCATTATATTGTGTAGAACACAGAGAACCTACATGTAATTTGTATCATTTCAAGTATAACTGCTGTAAATGGTAGAAGAAAATAACTTGATTTTCTTTTTTGTCAGTTTGGTACCTGGGCAGGTCAGCTGGGGGATGGAAGAGCCCACTTGGTCGGAGTATATACAAACAGGTGTGACATTTTTTTAAATGACTTGATTCAACTCTGTGTTCAGTTTAGTTGATTGATAGATAGCCTGAGGTGTTCTGTTAAAAATGCTAATGGTATTTTTGCAGGCAGAGGTGGGAACTGCAGTTGAAAGGGTCAGGAAAGACCCCATACTCCAGGTAAGTTGCAGTTATTCTGTGAACACCAAAACTGAGTGCTTTCTTTTTGAAATTTGCTTTGATTTTATGATCTATTCCTTATTTCTCTGTTCTTCATAGGAATGGAGATGGAAGAGCTGTGCTTCGCTCTTCTGTTAGAGAGTTTTTATGTAGTGAGGCCATGCACTATCTTGGAATTCCTACAAGCAGAGCTGCTAGGTATTTTTCTTTTCTTTTTCACAGTATCTTTTTGGATAAAACTTTCCTATAATAATAAGCTCCAGCAATTAATCACATCACTTTTGTCTTTGCTATGCTTTAAAATACTACTTAATTTGAAAACAATATTGTGTGCTGTCTGTGTCTAGCGGTAAACAGCTGTTGTTTACTGGTAGGACTGTCTTCACAGAATTACCTTAGTTTAAAATGTGGCTCCTCTTGTAAAGAAAGTAAAAAGTGGAAGTTAGATTGAGTGATTATATCGGACACTAACTTGCCTCTCCATGGTTTATGATATTTCAGTCGAGTTTCTTCTCTTTAAAATACAAAGAAAATGTTCTCTCACCACCAACTTGCAAAACCAGCAGGGCTGGATTCCTGCCCTGTAAGCAGTAATAATACCTCTAGTGTATGTGGATAATCAGTGAGTCTATTAATACATTGTACATGGTTAATAAATGAGTCTTTTATTACACTAAAGTTAAACATTTGAATGAATTTTCCTAGAATCCAGCCAACTAGGAAAATGTTGAAAGTGGCTATTTTTGTACTGTTATGGTCAGTCAGTTGCGCTTTTTAATATTGGTTGGAAAAATTGTCCGTCATATGAACAGATGTTAATATTGGAGGTAGTACTGAATGTAGGCAATTGCTCTCGATTCTTTATTTATGCAAACACCCCTTGAGCAAAGGAGGAGATTTTGTAAAAAAAAAATTCCAAAACTAATTCTCTTTGAATCAAAGGAGACTTAATACATCACTCATTTGGATGATTTTCTCAGAATCAAGTAACTGATTATTTTCAGATTATCATGTTTAAAATGTCAAGTTGATTTTGTGTTCTGAGTAGTCTCAGGTCTGTACTCCAACGTTTAAAGCTTCAAAGAAAGTAAATGTTCTGCAGAAAAGGCCTGTATTCAGCTGCCACATGTCCAGGTATCTGTATTTGCAAAGCATCTCCAAATGTCTCTAGCATTAGTTCTGTCGCATTTGCTCTGTTGAAGTGCAGTGCTTGTAAATGACATTTCTGGTGGTTTGTTCACTGACTTCATCCTGAGACCGTTTGCTGTTGGCTGTTAATGCAGAACCTCAAATCTGTCTGAATATCAGCAGGAAAGCATCAGGCAGGTTATAGCCTCTCTTTGCTGTCGTCTCAACAAACTGTTCAGCGCCAAACTAGTACGAAAGTACTCTTTAACTGCGCACGATTTCTACCGAGCACACAGTGTGCTTTAGTTCTCTGCTGGCAGATTGGTTAAATGCCTGGCTCTCTCAACTGCTGTACAAGATCCCCAGACTGTTTGCAAGACCTAATTTGGAAAAACCCCAGCTGACATCCATGTTCTTCCCAATGGGGAGCTGTTGTACTGAGGCTGGTGGGATGCACTTACAGAGGTCTTGTCACATCTTGGCAGAAGTGGGAGGAAAAGCCTTATAGCTTATCCCAGAACACCCAGCAGGTCGGTTTGCTCTATTAATGTTAAGTACTGCATTCCCAATGGGGTGCTACAGTTTATGACTGTACTGCCAGACAAAGAACACTTCATACAGTACCATTTCAGTCACATACTGGGACTACCAGTGAGCAGTGTCACGCATTAGGTCAAAAAAGTGAGTTAATATGCATAGTTTTCAGGGTGGCCTTTACTTGCATAGGGCTTGATGTTCATGCAAAAAATCAGGCAGAGCACGTTGGAATGTAAAGTCCAGCCCTTAAGTGAGAGCCGGGTAGGGAGGGATATAATCCATCTATCCTTCTGTGAGTGCTGTTCCAAGCTTCTTTGGTTAAGAGCAATTTCAGTGCTCCATTTCCTATGGTTGAGTATACATCTGGTCTGCTGCTGCCTTCTCTCCAGTAATGGTACTTACCATTTGAAAACTACTTTTATAGTGGGAATGTATCTTTATGTGGCCCCTGAGCTGCCTGGCCAGCCGTTAAGTGTTGCATGTCCATTAACTCATGTTGGTAACTAAATGTTGATACCCCTATGGATTTTTCGTCAGCAATAAAAAAAATGCTGGTATTCTACAGGAATTTTGCAGAGAACCTGCTACGAGTTATAGAGTCAAAAGAAACAACCCTTCCAGCAGAGGTCTGTTCAAATTAGGAAAATTTAGTAGCATTATTATTAGCATTATTATTCTGACTCCTGTCCCCTGGTGCTCTGACACACACAATATTTTGTTAGCATCTGAGGTTCCTTCCCTGTATTTGAATTTTTTTGTTTTCTTTTAAAGAATAAAGATTTTCTTCTTCCGACATACCAATTGGTTCCAGATAGGTAACAAAAAAAAAAAAAAAAAGTCCTAATGCTACTTGTATCAATACAGCACCAGTAATGGGAGCAGATTGATTTCTAGAGACATTTTCCCACCTTCTGGAACAATTCACTGCCTGTTCTTTGCAGTTAACAGAACATTCAGTTTGAATATCTAATAGATATCTTCAAAAATACTGACTGTAATAACAATAATTTAGTTTCAAAGCCACAGTTGCTGTTGCAAGCAACTGCACTGTGTAAGAATTCAGAAAATTTCTTTTCATTATTTTTTTGGTACATATTTATCTATGCATACCCTGCATTTTTGGTCCAACTAAATTCTTTCTAAAATTTTATGCTTAAGTATGTAAACCCTGAATCTCGTATACTCTCAAAATTTAACTCTTGGAAGTTATTTGAACACTGTGCCTGTCTTCAGTCATATTAATGAATGGAATATTAGGTTTGCTTCTTGATCTTTGCTGTGTAACTCCAAAAAGAGTTTGGTTCTGTCTTCTGTGCTGTCTTCAACTCCCTAATAAGTAGCAGATACGAGTGGCTGCAGTAAATATCAAGGAGGATTGTTTTTTTCCTGATTTAACAGAAAATACAGTGAAATTACATATTTTATTTCAAAAAATGTAAGTTTTGAAATATTTTAGAGCACATTGTTCTAAACACACATCTCAACATTTGGGTAAATATGAAAATGTACAGTATGTGCGGAATTTCAAGGCAAATAAAAGGAAGAGATTGTTTTTAAAAATCCCAGCATTAAGACCAGTGAAGAAGGGATAATTGTAATGCATCATTAGAATTATGTCTTTTTTGTGTCTTGATAGTATTTGAAGAGTTCCTGATTGCTAAGGGTCCTAGATCTGTTCCCAGAGTTTCTGAGACAACAGTATTGGCTCATGTAAAGGGCAACCTCCATCTGATGCATTAATTTGGTTTCTAATTTCTCTGTCAAGATTTCACTGTTGTCCTCAGGGAAATTGTGACTCATTTAATGTTATAATCACACCAATCAGTCACTGAGGTTCCAAGTGAATGCAGTTTGTTTTTTTAGTGCAGCCCCCTTCCCATGAACAGTGTGAATAATGAAAATTGGACAGCATTGTATTAAGTACAAAATAAATGCACCTTGCTAATGAACCCTGATAAACCTTGGCTTACTCTTTGCCTGTGTCATTTTTAAATACAAAGCTATGCCACCAAAAAGATACTTCTTTTTATGAACAAAATGAATTTATATAAAATGTGACTTGATCTTCATTGTAAATTATTTTTGCTGAGATAACTTTTTAATGATCATTTCTTGTTTGTTATAGCTTAGTTGTAAGTGATGATGATGTGTGGAGAGACCAGTTTTACAATGGAAACATTAAGAAAGAAAGAGGTAATGAACATATTTTGACATAATATGTTACAACACTAACTTAATTTTCCATACAAAAATATGTAATAAAAAGTACTAAATAGGTTTAATTTCATTTATTGAGATATAAAACTTGTCCTGGGAAAATCAGCCTGAAACATACCTTGGTTGAAGAGATGTAGCCCTGTGAACAGGTCTTCTATGATTGTGGCAAATGTGTTGCAGGAATATAATGTTTATTTTCCCTTGCCATTACAAAAATGATATAGGAAAATTTTCCATTGTTTTGGTAGCAATACTAGGATGGTGGGAATGCTGCAGTGGCTGTGCAATTGCTACCTTATCTACGCCTGCTCTGATAAAGAGTGGGATGGCGCAATACGGGGAAAATCTGTTCGTTCTTTCTCTGTTCTTACCATCTCTGGAGTAATTCTAGGATTAACGCAACAACAGAAGTTTGCCTATGGTTACTGGTATAGCAAATTAAGCTTTATCATTAAAAAGTATGTGTAATGAAGTAATATTACACATTATACATTCATCTGTTACGCGTTAAGCATACTTACAAAAATACCAGTTTAACTGTGCATATATAAATTCTGTGTGTATAGAAACAACACATGATGGCTTTTACTCTTCAACTCTTTTGTTTTGCTGATAATCTGTTTACATTTAAACACATATGTCTCTGTATTTAAGGTGCAGTAGTGCTACGTCTTGCCAAGTCATGGTTTCGTATAGGATCCTTAGAAATCTTAACTCATTCTGGGGAACTGGACTTACAAAGGTTTGAATTTAATCTTCGTAGTAACTATAATAGTTTCTCAACAATTCAGTGTATATTAGAATGCATGTATACACTTGGAATTTAGACATAAATTATTTAGAAAGTAAGATTACATAATTTAGAATTATGCATAGATAACCTGCTATTTTTATACAAGCATTCAAAAGATACCTCATCGGGGTGAAAAGCCTGGGCCTTACAAAATGGGAAAGGTTTTGTAGCTGAAATAGTTCTGGTAACTAAGCACTAGGGAGGAGTTGTTTGCTTTGGAAAGATTTGTAAAGTGAAAGTATAAGTTCCTACATTTTTTGTAGTTGTCTGTGAAGCTAAATTAACAGAAATATGAAATAAATCATTAGCATAAGTATGTTGTATAAAGTATGCTCTTCATAAACATGCAGAATTAGAGAAGTATACTAGGTAAGAAATCATTGCACAGTTTTAAGCCTCTCAGCATGACACATTTTTAGGTCTACTGTAAATATTTAAAAGGAGCAATAGAAGTTTTTCTGGGGTAATTACAAATGAGGAAGCACTCATAACAGCAGTTGTACATCGTAGTAACTGATAATTCAGTTTAATTTCCACATTACTCTACACAGCTAGTACTCTTTGTTTTATTTCGTTTTTTAATCTCAGCAGATTTTTATTGAAAAACTGAAAGACCGAATTAGGGAACTGTTTTTAAGTTATGCTTTGGGTTTTTTGGGTTAAAGTATTTTTTGGTTAAAGAATTCAGCCATAAAATTTTCTTTTTGAGAATTCTGGTGAAGAATTATTCCTTGTAATTGTATACTTTTTTTTTGGATATGCAAACTCTGTTTTCCTAAAAAAGGGATATTGCTGCATGCCAAACCAGATCCTATTCTGCTTTGGAGGTTTAATATGTGGAAATAATTTTTACTCTGTGTGGCAATCTCCAGCCATGTTTATCACTGGAACTTTAGGGTTAGGTTTTATCTCTAAGCATTTGGAAGAGCTTAATCCCATACTCATTGGAATAAATTGATTAAGTTTTCTAATAACTATTTGTGGCAAGCTGTTGATTAGCAGTTTGCTGTTTGAAAACAAGAATTTTGAATTATGAGTTCTAAAAGCACCAGTTTTGTTTAAAGAATTCTGCCTCTCTATTACAGAAGATTGCTAGACTTTATCATCCAGGAACATTTTCCATCAATAGCTGTGAATGATTCAAATAGATATCTGGTAAGTCATTTTTAAAAATTATTTTTAATTTCCACAAGCGTGTGAGCAAAAATTACACAATGCTCTTCCGAGTTTCAACTTTTAAAAGGTTTTAAATTTTGAAGTAAGCTTCCAGTTTTTATTAGCAAAAGTTTGTTAATTCTATGCAGCAAAAATCTGCTTATTGATTTTTCTTGGTTTCTCAAAATCAAATATGAACACTCTTCACCACTTTTCATTATGGACATGTTTTATTGTGAAGCTTCCATTTTCTGGTTGTTTTTTTTTTCTTCCATTTGCTGTTATATTTTGCTCAGATTTGAGTGAGCAGTGGTCATGAAGTTTTTCTAGTGTAAATGTAGTATATACAGTATATTCTAGTATATACACTAGTGTATATATAGTGTATTTGGTTTTTTTTAATTTTACTTTTTAATTTCTTTTGGGGCATCTGTAAATACTTAATTATAGTCTTTGCTGGATAAGTTCATTATGCACTCACATGATTTAGAATGTGAATGAAAAGTCCTGACAGAGAGAGATATACATTTTTAAAATAGAATGTGTTACATATTTCTAAGGTGATTAAAACGTTTATGTCATTTACTACTTTTGATACAGAGGACTTGAAGTAAAAGATGTATTTGGTTTTAGGAATTTTTCTCTACAGTCGTATCAGAGACTGCAAATCTGATTGCATTGTGGATGTCTGTGGGGTTTGCACATGGTAAGTTGCATTGGCTTTACAGGAGGGGCTTTTTATAGTCATATGCTTAAAAATGGGGTTTATTTTTCACTTTTGTCTTCAGTTCTTCTGCTGTCTTCTGGTGGGAGCACAAATCCCCAGAGCTGTTGCAACAGTCCCATGTACGAAGTCACCGTGTCAATGTCACGCACAGGTTTAGCTGCTGTGAATTTGATCCATCCGCATAAAAACCCGGCCTCTTATAGCGCGTGGGGTGCAGCGCTGCCCACCTTTGCTTCAGGTGTCCATTATTAAAGCTAAGGCAGCGATGCCCGAAGGTGGAGTGGCACCACCCAACGCGGGGAGCGAGGGGTGCATCCAGCGCCTCCTCCTCACCCTGCCTCGAGTGGCTGATTTTCCAGAGCCTCGTTGCTGAAAAGTAGCTGCTCCAGAGTTCTCAGATTCAGTGGATCTGTTTCACAGCAAATTTCCTACAGACTACGGGGTGAGGTGTAATTTTAACTTTTGCTTCTCCTCTTTGTTTAATTGTAGGTGTGTGCAATACAGATAACTTCAGTTTATTGTCCATAACAATAGATTATGGTCCATTTGGATTTATGGACTCCTATGACCCAAGTGAGTGTAGCACCTCTTTTTAAATTTTTTACTTAAATTCTTTTTATTAAATTATTTAGTTTCTATGTGCATGAAAACTCCTAACATTATGAGCAGAAAAATCCTCAGCATATGTATTGTTTGAAGAGCTTTAGGGAAAAAAATTTTATCAGTGGCCAGTTTCATGATGGACTATAAAAGTTGCATTCAGGAAATGTTATTGTTAAACCAATTTTCATGAGAAGATTTCCACTTGAACTTCATCAGTTGAATAGGTGCTGCAACAGAACCTTAAAAAACTAAAAATGTTGTATTGCTGGAAGTAGCCAAAAGCAAAAGTACAATACAGTAATTCTGCATGCATCAAGCTCTAGCTTTATAGTCCCAGCAGCTAATTATATGTTTGAAGAAAACTAATCAAACCTACACAACCTTTCTTTGAAAGTATAAACTTGGTTCTGGGATTGATATATATGGGTCCAGTATGTACATAAATGCATATTATTAGATTATTGTTTAGAGGTTGTATCTGAGTAAGCTTCAGAATCAGCAGTGATTATCTCACTGTGTATTTTCATGAGCTTGCAGCCTCAGATTGAGGAAATCTCATGAGAATAAATGTCATATTGTTTTGAATTGTATTGAATTATTATTATATATTATTATATATTGAATATTCTGTTGTGTGCTGGGTTGACCCCAGATGGCAATTAAGGACCCACAAGCCACTTGTCCAGTCCCCCCGGCTGCAGAATGAGGGAGGGAATTGGAAAAGCAAGGATGAGAAAAAGCTTATGGGTCAAGATAAAGATAGTTGAATAAGCAAAGAGGAAAAAAAATTGGGTAGGGGTGACCAAAATGTTGCAAAGGCAATTACTCACCACCTCCCACCACCAGACTGATGCTGAGTTGGTCCCTGAGCAACAGCTGCCTTGGAAAAACTACCCCCAGTTTTAATTGCTGAGATGATGTTACAGGGTATGAAATATCTGCTCGGTCAGCTGGGGTCAGCTGTCCCAGCTGTGTCCCCTCTGAGCCTCTTGGCCACCCCTACCCTAAATTTCTGGGGTTGTAGAGTAAGAAGGCCTTGATGCTGTGCCAACACTGCTCAGCAACGTGTAAAACACTGGTGTGTTATCAACAATGTTTCTGTCACAAGTCTCAAACACGGTGCTGTACAAGCTGCTGAAAAGGAACCTTACCCTGTCCCAGCCACAGACAGTGCATCCTAGAGCCAGATGAAAGTCTTTAGAGTTAAAATTCAGATTTGAAACATTTACTAGATCTGATAGATGTGTCACAGGTCTCCTCCTTAATGCTCCGTTTATTGTTGATGTCCTCTGAGGACTCAGGCAGTGCTGTGTGCATTGATCAGCTTATCTGCATTTGGTCTGAGTAAGGGGTTCATGCTACATCCACTTAGATAGGCATACATTTTACTTCTGGATACTTATAACTTGCATTGCAGGTATTTGTTATCTCTCAAATAATGGATTTGCATACTGGAACCCATTAGCCCTAATTTTACGTGAATACATAAAGCTTGCTTGTACAACTGAAAAAAAAATCATGCTTAGGTGTCCTATTAAATACATGTTCATTATACATGAGACTTTTACAGAAATACTTATAAATCCTGAATCTAGTTGAACATTTGTTTGCTTAATTTGTGTGATAAATAGTAGTGCTACATGTAGAAAAAACTTTGTTTCTAAGTGTAAAAGATGTTGTTTCTATTGTAAAAACGGTCTTTTTTGGTTTAAACATTGAATTTATTTTGTATATCTTCAAGTAGGAAGATTTCACTTGTGACACATGAGAACTTGTCTGTGAAGGATGTGTTCCTTAGATTTGCAGTTAATTCACTGTAAATAAGTTTCCTTGTGATCTGATTTTAAATATTTAGTAGCTTTAGGTCTTTTATGAGTTCACTCTCAATATTTTAACATTGATTGTTTATTGTAATTGCTCTGTTATGGAAGTGTTTTGTTTGAAACAGATTTTGTTCCAAACACATCTGATGATGAGAAGAGGTATAAAATAGGAAATCAGGCAAATGTGGGGCTGTTTAATCTGAGCAAGCTCTTACAAGCTCTAAAACCTATATTGGATCCCAGGCAAAAGCAGCTGTAAGTAATCTTTGAAATATCTTAATGCTTAAAAGAAGTAGTGAGATTGGAGACCCTCTAATCACCCTATGTATAGGAAAGAAAGTGATTAGCTTTTAAATTTTTTTTTTTTTTTTTAAGTGGAAATTGATTCTGGATTAATTGTTGGCCAGAATAAGTTTGGAGGGAGGGGAGAAAGGTGTTCACTGGTCATAAATAATAGCAAAATAGGACCACAAAGAGGTACTAGATCTTGTGTGATTCATTCTCCTTTCACCGAGGTAGGACCTTTGCCTCTAGTTTCCTGTTTTAAGTTTGTCTAGCTCTTTCTTTAAGATGCTTACTTCTGAAGACCCTGCATCCTTCTGAAGTAACGAGGTAGGATTTTAAGAGCCTGTTGTAAAGATTCTTATATGAAGAATGGATCCCAGATGATTCAGAATGTCAGTGTTTCTGAGATATCAGTCAGGAGAAGTTTTCTTTGCTTAGTAGGACTTTACTCACAGTAACATTTTAGTTCCATAGAACTTGACATTTCTTTTGTTTTTGCAGAGCTTCCCAGATTTTGGAGGGATATGGTGAGCACTATTACAGCCGGTATGCAGTTTCAGAACTCAAACCTTCTAGTCACAGTACTATAAATTATAACATGTAACAATTTACTAACATTATTATTATTTTCAGTTTCACAGAACTATTCAAAGCAAAATTGGGTCTTCTTGGGGAGAATGAGAATGATAACTATTTGATTTCTTTCCTCTTAAAAGTGAGTTTACTTTGCTAATTTTGTTGGCAAATATCTGAACCGATACCCCATACTTGAAAAGCACTGATAGAATGATCTTTATTTCACTAGATTATGGAAGATACAAAGGCTGATTTTACAATGACATTTCAAGAACTGAGTGAAATTACTGAAGACCAGTTAAGGGAGCTCCATATTCCAGAGGTATTAATACAAGCACCTAATTTTAAGAATACTTAATATAGAATGAGTAAATCAAGTTGAACATAACCCTGATATACTAGAAGATGTCTTGAGCCTGCTTTATCTGGGAAATACGTCATTATAGCATTATTAAGGGAGAGTAAGGCTAATACATCTGTGCCATGCTACTACCCCTTGTTAAGCCTGTGTCTGGTAATGAAGGATATGTTAATAAAAAGTGCTAATGGAAGGTGCATTAATGAAGAGTGCTGAAGTCAGATTTTCAGCCTCTGCTACAGGTCCAAGATGAGTAGTCATAAATCCTTATACACAGGTGGGAATGTGTTTTCTCCCTATTTAAGGTGGGTCTGCTATGAAGACCTTTCCTCCCCTTCCCCTCCCTTTTTTTATTGTCTTGCTTAAGAATACCTTTTATCCAACAAGTGAAGTTGGACAGGCCTCATAACGAAAATTTCAACCTCAGGTCAACTGATTCATTCCTAACATGGGTTTACCAGGTGGCCTAAACCTCTGCTCTCAGGCCCATCAGCTTGTCACAGTGTGTAATGAGAAGTGAGATCCCATCTTGTCATAAACTCTTGCTAGAGCCCTTTGCCCAGAGCGGCCTCTGCCCTTTCTTGAGCACAAGATTGGTTTTAAATTTAACTTAAAGCATAAGAACACATTTTGCTATGGTTTTCTGCTCAGCCTGCTATGCCACCCTGTGTTGCTGCTAGCTCAGCCTAAACATACTCTTCAGGACCAAGTACAACCATAAAAGAGATGAGAATATTTAAAAGAGATCAAATTTTTACTTGGATTTAGTGCAGTCTTTAGAAGTGGAAATGTAGCTGAAATGTTTGAACTGGAGTGAGATGCTAGGTGAGTAGTAACTGGGTAAAAATGCAGAGGGGAAATTCTGAAAAGCTTGTATTTACCTAATCTGGAAAGAAAAATAGGAAGTCTTTTTGCATTCTTTAATACAGTGCCTTTTCCATGTGATGAATATTGTTTGCTTTGCCTGGGAAACTTCATTGCCTTCCCTGAACATCTGACTTACTTCTGTTTGTCTTTGAAACTATTTTAAAATGAGACCAAGTGGACTTATTACGTTGTTTTAGGGAGAAGCAGAATGACTGTATGTAAAGCATAGAATGAAAATGAGGAGTTACTGTTTCTCCTTCTAGTTGTGTCTGAGATAATTAAGTGGTTTTCCTTATTATCTTCTGCTAAGAGGTCTGTCCTGACCTTTTCTATGAGCTTGAAGCCATTAAGAGTTAAAAAGTTGAGATATTCCAGAAGTAAGCAATAAAAAAAAAAAAAAAGCTGTAGCTTTGGAGTTAATATTTTGCACAGGGTGCAATAAAAGGATGGGGTGTGTTTGTAAGAGAAGGTATTTTTGTCGTAGAATACAAGGGATTTTTCCATTTCTTAGTGGCCTACATGTGATAGGAGGAATGAAACCCACCCTCATACAGTATGAAGTCACTCCTGAATTACTGCAGTAGTGGGATTTATGGCAACTCCATCTCCCCATCTTTGAGGGTGCTGGCTAAGGAACCAGCAGTCGTGGTGTAGCTGTGACCCTGCTTTTACACCAAGGGTCATTTCCAGCCTTCATTTGGTAGCAACCTGATCTCTTTTATTTTCACACAATAAAATGATTTAAGCCACAAGTGCTGAGTCCCAAAACTGATGTGGAGAAGCAGGTGCAATTTTATGCTGTTAAAAAGTTTTAGTTGTTTTAAAGAATTTTAAGTTTAAAATAATTTCACCTGCTGTTAATTTACACACTAATACTTTATCAGTAGCAAAGTTCTCATATTGATTTTTAGATCACTTCTGATTTTTTCAGCTGCACATCAAAATTAACCTAAAAATGCCAGAAGCCTTTGGGAGCACCGAAGCAGTCCTCACATTTAATATTGACTGGAAACATTCTGACATTTTAGTCACTTCTGTGCCCATTTTTATGATCAAATATGGTTTTCATTATTACTCCTATCCCTTTAAAAAAAAAAAAGAACCCCAGATGGGATCAAAACTTTTTCTTCTTGCTTTAAATTTCCCTTTTCTTTCCTTATATATCTGTTGCTTACCTCCTTTTATCTATGTTCATTTCTTTCTAATCTGTTCTTTCTCTGAAGTTCATTTTTTATCTGTGAGCTTTGGCTTCTTTTAGCTGAGCAATATGAAGCAGCTGTTAGCTCTCAGTCAACCAGGGAAGCCTGGTTTGTGGTTGTTGTCCAGCACTGGAGGCAGTAACCCCAAGCTCTGATTTCTTGCTGTTTGCCTTTTCCAAGTTCTGTCTCCTCTCACACTAACTCTATTCTTTTACTCAGTATTCTATTTTAATACAGAGGAAAAGTTGCTAGTAGAATTTTGAGGAAGAAAATTCTTGAAGGGTCATCATATATTTCTCTCTTAAATCCTTTTAATATTCATTATCCTGGTTTCAGCTAGGATTTTCTTCCTAGTAGCTGGTACAGTGCTATGTTTTAGATTTAGATTGAGAATAATGTTGATAACATACTATTATTATATTATTATTATTAAATTATTTCAATTATTACACTCTTATTATCTCAACCCATGAGTTTTCTTCCTTTAAACGTTCTGATTCTCTACCCCATCCTACCGAGAGGAAGAGTGAGTAAGTGTTTATAGGGCTTAGTTGCCAGCTGGGGTTAAACCACAGTATTCTTTTGCTTACTTTTGTTTTTGCTTAACAGAAAGAAAATTCTTACTACCTGCCACTAACTGTTTCTTTCTCTTTAGGAGTTTTGGGCTCTCCAGGATCTGGGTAAACACAAATTATTTTCTGAATGGGTTACTATGTACCTCTTGAGATTAAAGCAGTAAGTCTGATGCTTTTTCAAATGTGTATTTGCCAGAATCAAATTTAATCTGCACTTGTTTTTCATAATCTTCAGCGGATCTACTAAAGTGGCCCAAACACAGTTTCATATGCCTTTTTTGGTTCTAGATTGTGCTGGATTTGATAATAATTACTATTGTAGTTCTGTTTTGACACACAGCTAAATAAAAATTATATGGGAGGAGTGGTCTGTATTTTTATCAGATTTCTTTGGTTAACAATTTCTGTTAAAATACCAGTCTTACAGATTCAGTCCAAGAATCACAAACGGGCTTTGCAAATACATGGGAATGAACAGTGTTTAATTTTTGGTAACATGTATATATATATTTACTCTGCAATAACATTGCTTTATGATAACAGTGGATAGAAGTTGAACAGTCATGAATACGCAGACTGTGTGTGGAAAATGCTGATGTTGCATAGATAGGAACGTTAATTCTTTTGTCTTAATAAAGAATGTAATGTGTTTTTCTTAGTCCTAAATGGTATGCATGGATAGTAGTGAAAAGACACATATTTCAGGTACTTGGAAATTTTATTCAATAAATACAATTCTTAGGAAAAATTAATGCAGCATACAAAACCTACAAGAAGGTTTGCAGTCTTTTCCAAGTCTAATCATTCTTAGAGATTCACACCTGCTTCCGCTGAACACAAAAGCAGAACACTTAATGATTTTAATGAAATCAGATAAGATATTTCTAAAAATAAATCAGCATAATCATCATTAGCTAAAAGCACTTTCTGTTTTTCTTCTTTTGGTTTGTTTTCCATGTATAGTAACAAGGGTGATTCAGACACCAAAAGAAGAACAAGAATGACAAGTAAGTAAGGTAATCCAAAGGAATTGGATAATTGGAAATGGCAAATACCTCTTTACAAAGGTTTCTTTGGTGTTAGTTATTTTTCCTTTTGAAAGGAACTAAAATGTACTGTTCTTCTGAGTGGGAGAAACTCTCATTACACTGCTGCAAGTCTCGTAACCCTGTACATTCATTGTGACTGTCTCTGGTTTCATCCACTGTTGTGATTAGACTCTAACCGTGTGTGTATGGCTAGACCTGTGAATACGTATGTACTTTTTACATAAGTCAAATGACCAAGAAATTCCTTGGCTACAGTGAGGCTTGCTTCCTCCTTAGATATCCTGCCTTTCCCCTCCTTAAAAAAAAAAACAACCTTCAATTTCATTGTCTGTGTTTATGAAGAAATTGGTCTGACACAAATCCCTTCCATTATGAATACAGTCAGAGTCAGATCAGTGGATTGTGTGGGAATGCTATGGCTGCTGCCCAAGTTGTAACTCTTCAACATAAGGTAAGGTACTTCCTGAAAGGGCCCCTAGGATTTGATTTCCTTGTGAGAGATGCCCTTCCTCTTGTGCTGTATCAGCTTTTCCTGAGTGCAAGTAACATCTCCTTGATCTGCACGTCCTTCCTTCAGCAATCTGGGAATGTCTTGGTTTGCAATGCTCAGAACTTTTTCATTGCTCTTGTCCAGTGATGAGCCCTCAGTGACAGGAAAGGTTCTGATAGGCAACCTGTGCTGGCTCAATGGACCAGGATTTGTCTTATGCTTAAATATGCTCAGATCCTTTCAACATGTTATACAGAATTCAGGTTTCTGATAGCCACCCACTTTTTTTAATTCACCCTGAGAAAAAACTCCTTGTGAAAGGACTATCTAGTCAGTCATAGAAGGCAAAGGAAGGTGCTTTGATTCTCCAAGTTATTCTAAACACAGAATGGCAAAAATACTGCAGGTAAGCATCACAGCAGAAACAGTGGATATGAAATTCCAAGAATGTTTTTGGGTTTCTTTGTTTGTTTGTTTTCTTTTGCATTTTTACATCCATGCATTTAAATAGATCACTTAGATGCCCCTGTGGTCTCTTTAAAATTGTTTGGGTTTTCTTTTGGTTGGTTTGTTTAAGCATTTACTTGAAACAGCTGTCCCTCGTCATTACAACTTACAGCAGAAATCTGGCTCAACACAGTCAACTCTGCATTTTTACCCAGCCTTTCATGTTAAAGACAAAACTGTTGTGGGTCTTCAGAATTTTATATGGGTTGGGAAGTCACACCTTAATTGTATATTGCTGTCTTTGACTGACCCTGAATATATTGCCATTAGCACCTCCTTATTCATCATCTTTCCCTAATTGTTAGTATGTGTCATAAGATACTTCATTTCTCAAAGTACATTGCCTTGAATCATTTGAAGTTGACCAATTATTTTTATTTTTTCCTCCCTTTATTTACTTTTCAGTTCTTAGTAGCACTTTATCTTATACTGCCTAAATTTAGCTCCTTAAGAGTTGATCAAAAAGTTTTGACAATCCAAGTCCATAATTGTATTTCTTTACAAAAGAAGCATGTAAAAAAAATGTAGACTAGATCATGCTTTTAAGGCCACAAAATTTCTTTCCCTTTGTCCTTTTCTTATCTTGCTTGTCTTACTCTTTAATAATTATCTTGTCACTTGTGTTAATTACAGATATTTTTAACTCCCCTGTGAAACTTGTCAATTTGCAATTGTTAAGAATATATTTCTGTGACAAATATTCTCCTGCTAATATGACTCATGGTTTTAATGTAAATTATAATTTTTGTATGAGTCATATGTTAACTTTTTCACCTTTTAAATATTTTTTTTAAGTAGTTAATACACTTTACTATTGAAAACCTGTTTACTGAACTAAATCAAATACTTGGCCAGAACAATTAAGAGGGAGAAAAAGGAAAGTTGAAACAGTAGGTTATAAAAACTACAGTTGAAATGCAACATTAAAGGCCTTTATGGCTAAACTTCTGTTATATGATATAGGAGTATCTAAGTACATATACTTTAGCTGATATCTTAAAAATTAATAATCCCTAGGAAGGTATTGACAACACTGAAATACGCTTTCCAGCAATGTAGCAGGAACCCAGGCCATGGTAAAACTCATCACACCTGAAGAGTCTGCTATGTTCCTAAGGGGAAATTCGTTATGTATCAATGTCATGTTCCTTACCATTCTAATTTTTGTTTGACACTTTGGCTCATTGTGCAAGTTTAAAAAATTCCTTTTAGCAACTAATAAAAATAAATAGATTGATTAATTCCTTTTCCTTTTTATGCTTTTTTTCTTGATCTGCAAATTAAACCTTCTTGAAGATTTCAATGACACGTTTCAATGATCGTATTTTCCTTTTGTTTAATATGTCTAACTAAATTTAACATGATTTACTCTTGGTTTCAGCTGTTAATCCTAGATACATACTTAGGAATTGGATGGCAGAATCAGCAGTGCAAAAAGCTAATTTGAATGATTTCTCTGAGGTAAAATTATTCCTTTTTTTCTTGACATATTTAATAATAATTGGCATAATAGCTAATTACATTTACTCTTTGAACTGTACTACACTTTGACCAACATTGTACTAACACCAATTACTATTTTAAATATTAACAAAATTATTAATAGCATTAATTATAAATAACAGTGACTATATTAATAGTAGTACTAATAATAGTAAGCAGTTCACGTGATAGTTTCTGGAACCAGGAGGGTGGTGGGAGAAACTTTTCTTGTTTGCAGGAAAACATTTTGTATAAAAACTTACCCATTTTTATTGCTTCCAGGTCCGTTTCCTCGAACAGGTTTTACAACATCCCTTCCAGAAACAGGAGGCTGCAGAGCAAGCAGGCTACTCCCTGCGCCCCCCAGCTTGGGCCAAGGATCTGAAAGTAAGCTGTTCATCCTGAGAGAAGTTTGAACAAGCAGGAAAAACGATCCAGGTCGAAGCTCAGGCCTTCACATAGGATTAATGGACCGCTCTTCTCCCTTATATTTTGTGGACTGGAATCTGCTACTTTACTAGGCAAGACAAGGTCTTTACCAACTTTTTGAAGTGTAAGATTAAAGAAATGGATCACTATGTGTGGTTGCATCAGCCAATTTGCATTCTTCTGTTCATTACTCTGAGTAACAATATTTAAGTTCTGCCAAACTGTCACACTTTACCTCTCATAATTCATAGCTGATCAGGTGCGTCTCAGTATCTTTTACTGACTGATCAGTTTAAAATCCATCTAAGCTAGTTTTAATAATGTGATATTTTGATTAATTTTCTTCTTGCTGTTACACACTGGTCAAATATCATTGCATTCTACGTTTTCTCAAGTCTTTTGCAGAGCTGGTACAGGGGATCATCTTACACCTTGATATTTTTTCTCTTTCTGATCTTGTTTTGTCCCATTAAATTGACAATAGATGCTTAAAGGAAATTCAGTTACATAGTGAGCAAAGGTGTCTGTCTTGGGAGTGACTTTTCCCAGAATAAATTTTGGTGTCTTTGCTGGTGTCAGGTGCATATCAAGCCTGGACCACTGCTCTTTGAAAGTGTATCTTTTGATAGTAGTAGAAAGATTGTTGGTGCATGCATAAAAAGCCTCAGGAAGATTTCACCAATTGGACCTGGAAAAGAATTGTCTTGGAAATATCTCACTATGTATGTAGTCAGGTAAATATACCTTTTGTATTCAGCCACCTTTTGTAAGGGACTTATAAAAATCATGCAGGGAAAATATTTAAAGGTCTTTGAGCCCTGGATCTTGCTATTTATCCTTGTTTGATACTCTAGTTCCACAAAATTTTGTGTATAATTAAGGCAAAATTAATACATCAGCAGTCATGGCTAACATTATGCTAGAAAATTTGCAGAAAATAATCACTTAGTTGGGGGCTTTGTTACTTCTTGATGTTACCTTGTCTATTCCCAAATCCAAAATGGATTGGTTTAGGATCTCCAAATTTTGTGAGTGCCACTTGATTGAAATAGAGGCTATTAGTGGTATAATTAAAATTTCACAAATCTATTTCTAGAAATATAATTAGTGTGGAAAAAATATATTATTAGAAATCTTTTAGGGACTAAAAAAATATTTGAATGCCTTTACTTTTTAGCTATAATCAACACAATTATTCAGGATGGTTTCCCCTCAGGTATACAGCTGTTCAAATGTAAATGCAGTTGTTCAAATGTAAGTAGTATAATGGGAGGCACAGTACAGATACTTAAATACAGTTTTCTGAAATTCCAGTCTGACGCTGAAGCAACTTACCCACGTTCAGCCTGGGTAGCATTCCTTGTGCAGGTAGAAAGTGCTCTCCTTTGATCACAGGGCTTAGTGTTTGAGCTGGCACTACCTCCAGAGCAGAGGTGTGGGCTGCTGGGGGTCTGTCGAAGCCCTTTAGCACTGGGCTGTGTTCCAGCCCCCTGAAACCCTGGCACTGATGCATCTTCTCGACAATTCCAAAATGGTGTCGTGAGGAAAGGTGTGAACGTCAATTACCACCTAAGGGGGAGCCGGTTGCACTCAAGTAAGTGATGATTTGGAGAATGTATTTGTGTCTGCAGGGGAAATGCAGCAGCACTGCAGCTTGAGCCCTGGATCCCAATTAGGTGAAAGGGGAGATCTCCAATTCCTGTTTTACCAAACGTCTGGGAAGTTTCTGTTTTGTGGGGGCCAAACATGGCTGCCCGTACATCTTTAACTTAACAGATAACTGCATAAATACAAAGCATTTTTATACTGCATTTTTCTTCAAAGTGTTTTATAAATGTAATCTTATTAGGGGCAAGTGGGCCTCTGCATCACCCATAGTTACAGGTAAAGAAAGCCTCCAGCATCTCAAGGTAAAACCAGAACAGCCCAAATGGGAGCTGTTTTCCAAGCAGTGGCACGTACTGCTCCCTGTGAGGCTTCTCAGGTTCTTAAAAAGATACCTGAGAGAATGAACCAAGCCCTGAAACTTGGTTTCACGTATTCCTGTGGCTGCAGAGAGTCGGTCAGCTCTCTCTCTTCTCCAGGAGTTCATTCATGGACTCAGTTATGTCTTCTTTCCAGGATTTATATGAAGGCAAATCTCCATTTTCTTTCCCTAGTTTTACCATGAGTTTACATAATCTGATTTTAGTAACTATTCTGATTTCATAATAGTCAGTACTGACTGTTAAAGGTGATCACACTGCCTTAAAATGTTCCCCAAGACCATGAGAATTCCTAAGTCTTAATGATACCCAATCTGTTCTGTGTGTTTCCCTCAAACAGAATATGCATTTTTCCCAGTTACTGTGAGACTGTCAAGGATAACTGCTAAATAACAATTCTGTAGTTTTGTCACTATGCATTTAAGTTTCTACTTTTCCACTCTCAAAGTGCCTGGCATGAAAAACACGAAGCATATGGTTATCCCAATACTGGTAGAAATAGAGAAGTGACCGCACATTGTGCTCAGCATTTGGTACCATGTCGCTTTCCACTCCCAGGTTTTAATCATTATGGTTTATTATGATAATGTAAACATTGATACTGTGTTCCATGGTGTATTCCCTGAAATCCTTGGCTGCCACCTGTCTTTCTGGAGCTGCTTTCCCCTCATGTTACATGAACAGAGCAGTGATGCAAGAACAGATGGGGAATAACAATATTGGGGCTGGTAATCCAACAGGTGTGCTCAGCTCATGCTCTTATCCTCTTTCTGTATTGGAGGACAATTCTGAAGGGACAGCAGTGCTGATCCCCCACATACGGACTTTTTCCACATAACTCTAACCTTTCTAATTCTAAGGACTGATGGAAAAGTGATGTCTTAAAGGAGGCCCTTTTCCCGATTAGTGATGTAAGCGCCCAGAGGAGATGGCAGCTGCTGAGACTGCTTCCATTTGAGGTATGGAGAAAGGTTAAAAATAACATGCTGCAATTTCACATCTTTTCAGGCTAAAATACTGTAAGCTCTAATGATGTACATACTGCCATGATCTACAATTTGTATGGCAGTAGGTTAGACAGAGGTGGAAGGATTAATTTCTATTTTTTACAAATGCTTTGAATTGGAAGCATTGGAAGATCTTTTTGTATTTTGCAACATGTTTCGGTACCATATGAAACCAAATAATTGTGTGTCATTAAGATGGCAGCTTTGTTCTTTGAATTTTGAATGAAGTTTAAATCTTACATTTCAGAAATTTACCACTACCATGTACATACACAAAATAGCTGACAGAGGTCTAATCATCACAGCATTTTACTTGATTTCTGGAGTTCTCTGTAGGCCTTAATTATTTTTTGTTTTGAACAAAGTTCAACTTCTTTTGTGTGAGATTAAGTGAAAGTGTTATGACTGCAGATGTAAATTGTATAAAATTGAGTTTATTGTGCTGTAACAAAAGAGAAGGGAGGAAATAGGGCAGGAGGCTGAGTGTTCTGATGAGAAGAAAGAATGCTAGAAAAGCCTTGTAGAAGTCTCAGTGCTTCTTTGAATCAGAGAAATCAGCTTATTGTGCAACATTTTTCTAAGGACATGTCCTGCTTTATTTTGATGCTGGGTGTATATTTTATAAAATTAATATGATTTAAAAAATAGCTGGATAGCAGACAGCTGTTGTCACCTGTGTTGAAGATATGCACTCCTAATACTTTGTCAGAAAAGGACACCCAGCTCTTGAATGATTCTGTGTAACGCTTACCTCAGTTATATATGGAAAGGGATTGGGAAACAGTAATCCTCTTTTCTGGTTTGGTTTTTTTTGGGTTTTTTTTAAACTCCTAGTTTTAACCCTCCTACTTTTAGCTAGTTAGCATTTTCCCCCTGCATTTTTAACTAAGGCTTGTACTAAGCTTATAAGCCTTGCACTGGTCTCAAGAGCATTTCACAGTTTGGCTGTTCGAAGGTGCCAACACACCTTTTGAACACCCCAGCATGTCAGTTAAAAACCTCCAGGTAACGTCTGTGTTAGTGATGGGCATAGGGAGAACCCACTACTCTCCTCATGAGAGCTCTTTGCTCAGTTCAGGAAAAGCAAGGGAGCTATAAACCAGTAAGAGCTGGACGGACTCTGTACTGGTAAATGAGGGCCAGGAAATAGTCCCCTGGCCCATGAACTGGTGTCCTGACTGGCCACATCTGCACCACGGCGGATCTCTGTGTGGGGAGTGAAAACTGCTTTAGAGTTGTCCATGTTGTCTTCTGGGAATGTGCCTGTCCTGGGCAGTTCCTTGCGTTGTGTCTGGGACTGTGCTCAGGCCCACGTGGGCAGTGTGGGCAAGCACTGGGCCAGCACTCAGGCTCGCACCCTCCCCTTTTATTTAGCAGTAGAGACAGGGCTGTACAAGCTGTAGTGTCATGCCAGCAATGCCAGCTCCTCAGCCACGGGCTGCAGAACAACAGATGTCAACCAGCAGTCGAGAGACATCTCCCCTCCCCACAGCCCTGAGCTTCTGCAATGCTTACACTGCTGACAAAGGAAGGAGGAAACAGAGAGGCTGTCCCATGGCTGTACCTGAGTAGCTGTTGATAGACACGATTACTGCAGGGAAAGCATCCCTTAGCTCCAGCTTGTCTCAAGTGAGAACAGATTCAGCTGCTGGAAGTCACATGAGCTTGTTTTAGTGACTTACCTGGCACTTACCTGGCACTTCCCTGGCCGAAGCATCTCAGTTCTGAAACAGCCTCGGCACATCCTCAAGTTCCTCTTGTATCCATCACCACCCTCCACTCCAGCTCTGTCCAAAAGCCTGTACTTCCTGCTTTGACCAGGTACCACTTCAGTGCTGGCTGGGCATGTTTCACCTTGCATTGCTCTAACCTGTCAAGGGGCCTGGCTCCTCAACACCAAGCACTGGTTACAGCCGCCTTATTTCTGCCAGGCTTGTTATGCATGTATGTGGGTATTGAAAAACCAACCTTAAGCCAAAAATAAGACTAGAAGTGAACCAAAACTTTCACAGGCTGTGGCACGGCCACCAGCTTGCCATTCTTGTGCCTCCGCCACCACTCCTGGACCTAGAAATCCATTCTGACAAACACACTTTGCCTCTTCTCATGCACACTTGATCTTCTAAGATAATATAAATAGTTCTGTATTTTGAGTTAGAAAAAAGCATAAAAAGCAAAGACTGGAATAATAATAATAATAATAATAAAAAAGACTAGAAGGTATAGGCAAAAATTCTTTAAAATATTTTAAGTGGTTCCAATTGCCAGTAAAATGCCTCTTCATTAACTGTGACACTTTGTGCAGCTATAAAGTAGAAGCTATTTTTATTTGAGAAGTAACAATGAATGCTTCCTAAATGAGCAACGGAGAATTAAATGGGGAGAACAAATGAAAAAAAATGTAGAAGATATTCTTATCAGGTACAAGATAATTACAAAGTTTTTCACAGGACAGATTATTTCTCGGTACAGTTTGAAGACAAATGTTAACCAACAGAAGAAGAATCCTGCTTACCAAGGGAAGCATATGTGATTTCAGAATAAACATTTTTATTTGTCTAGGGTTAACCAAGTAAATTTCAAGGCAGCAGCTGAGAATGCTGACAGGTAGGACTGAGTTACATATAGAAACAGGAGTGTGTAACATTTGGGGTGACACTGTCTGGAAATGGTCCTGGCCCTGACATGCATTATCAGAATAATCTAGCTGAGGTTTTACTTTTTAAGAAGGACTATTTAAAACATTTTTAAAGAGGGTCTTTTTATTGGAAAAAACACCCCCATAGGCAGGGGGGGTTCAATAAAGAACCTTTAAGGGCAATTCTGTGAAAAGGGATCTTCCCACTTCTCAAAATTCACATGAGAACATTGTTGTATTTTTCCTTTAGCTCCAGTTCCACTAGAGAGGCAGCCACAGAAGATGCTTTCACGTGCTGGCTGTCTCTGGAGTGCTGCTCTGCCATCCCTGTCCTTCTGGAGTGAAGCAAGACTGTCCAGTCAATTCTTACCTTGGCCTGGTGC